TCGCAGCCTCCGCGTTATTTCCTTTCTGTGTGAACCTCGGAGGCACAAAGCCTCGACTCGCCGCTGCTGCTCTGCAGACAGTGCTTTTGTGTATGTATCTGCTACTTAATTGATCACCTTTACTTTAAGGTAGTGTTTAATGGTGCCTGAGGACTTTGGGGACATCTTAAAAATACTAGTTAGAATTACTTTTGGTCATTGAATTTTTTCATATAAGTACCTTATTGCAAGACAATAATTTATGCAAATTTTTATGACGTCACGATGACGTAATCTGGAGTTATGAGCCACGCCCCCTTTTTAGAAAAATCAATTTTCCTGGCCAGTGCTTTGGTTTTCATTGACCATATTTTGTAGAGAGGCGCACTATAGTAATAGCAAAAAACGTACGTCAGGATTTTTTTCTATCTTTAAATGTTGATTTTTTAATGAATTTTTTTCGTAAATTTTAACAATGCCATACGCCAGCGGCCCTCCCCAGCACATAAAGCGGCGCAGCGCGTCGGCCTGACGTACGTTTTTAGTTTAGAAGCTTATGTTTAAAAGAAAACAATTTTTTGTCCCTTTTCATTAGCAGTTTTGCCACAGTTTTGATCTAAAAATGCCGTATATGCTGTATGGGTTACATAAATGTCCATTTTGGAGCCAAAAAGAGCCGAAATCGCCAGGTTCTGGTCTGCATTCCAAAGGCCCCGATGACTTCCGGTAAAATGCGGGTCATTGACCCTTCAGCACGCTGTATTTACCATTCTGAGCCGCGATTTAGAAAAACAGGCCGGGGATACGAACAGTAAAAAGAACAGCCCAAGCATCCCCATATTCTTAAAGCGTAGGGGAGTCACGTGACCAAACCAAAATGGCGGACGACGACGTGGATGCCGCGAAGGACGCTGTGCGGTTTGCGGCAACATTTGGGCCGCTAGACAATCTTTTAAACGGCTATACCCTACGTAGTTTTGCAGGTGGACTTTCATGGACTATTCTGAGACCTTTCTGGAGAAAAACCGTCCGCGTTTTCTGGAGTTACGGATTTGTTTTTGATGCCTACCCCCGAAGTTCTTTGTTATGTTACGGAAGCAGCAACATACTCGGAAAAAGACTGAAAAGTTACCGGAGTAGATAGCCCTGGAGAAAAGCCTGCCCGTACGTGGTATGAGATTACTAGCGAATATAATTTTGTTGATTATGTGAATTTCTGTTGAATGTTGTCCTAGTAGACGTGTGCTTACAGTATATGATTTTTTTACGTACGGAGTTTTATCTGCAAATATGGACGATCCGTTATAAGCTGCCACCGCTGTAAACCGTAAAGATATGTTCGTCGTTACAGTAAGATAATTTGTGTATGCATTCCGCTCTAAGATAGCTTGAAGTTTGTTTGTATTGTATTTCTTTGAATAAAAAAAGAACGTTGCAGATTGGAAATCAGTTCTTGTGTCATGTTTGTTCAAGTACTAGTATCTTCTTCCTACAACTGCATATAACAGTTACTACCGGTAGTATATTTGCAAACATTTTGCAGTCGAAACAAACTCAAACGTTCCTTTTGGCAGTCAAATGTTTTTGGCGTAATCCATGCCTTTTTCTTGGTGATTTCTGTGGTATATTTCCAGTTGAATATGTGTTCCGACTTGATTAGCCGGCATGGCAGGTTTTCGTAAATTCTTTGCAGTTACTTGGTTACTTAGCGGTCTACAAATAACATGATGTACTGTATTTACAAACGCTAAGTAAGTATCAGGAAAATTGTCTTTTCCTTTCCCAATGGCAAAGTGAAGCTCACACACACTGTGACAGTTCACATTCCTTGCTTCAAGTGGCCCAGGGGACTCGTGCTTTCGCTTCAGAGGGGCCGGGGGGTGTGCACATTATTTGGAAGAGCACTCCATATTTGGAAGAGCACTCCATATATGGGAGCCCGGATGGTAGATGGCGCGTAAAAATTGCGAACTTTGTCGTTCAATTTCGCGGTCAAAATGTGGCCCTGGCAAAAAATATGTTATAGATTATAAAAATAGACCAAAAAGTCTACCATGTCAGATAGAGTTTTTTTTCTATACTAGTATTTCCAAAAAGTCCTCAGGCACCCTTCAATATGACCTTAATCTAAAGTCAACTCTCAAATACGCATTATTACACAGCTATATCTTTCTGAAACTAAGCGATTTAACAACTGATCTATATTTCGGTATAAATTTATAATATCTTAATAGATAAACTTAGCTCTCTTGTTACCTGGACGTTACCCATGTTTTGTGATGTAATTTTTATGTTATGTTTAGTGTTGATGTGAATATAAGCATATTGCTTGAGTGCATGCGTTACCACTATGCATTGTATCATTTGCATGTTGAAATAAGAAAAAAGACAGGACTGGATGCAAACAGCGTCATAAAAACTCCCTCACGGCTATATTTCAGGCAAAGCGTCCGATTCGGCAGCAGATAGCCGGGCGAATCAAACTTTGACGGCCGTAAACAGGGATCACCTCGATATTGGCTCCTCCGTCCCCGTATATCAGCACAGGGCGGGTCTAAATCAACCACTCGGCAAAGTGGGCGCAAATAAAAACCTAAAGGACTAGAATTATTCATGGGGCTCGTAAAGCTGCATGTCAATAGCACACGGGTTAGATCTGACACAGGAAATAAGTCTGTCAGCAAAAATATCGGATGGTGTTTAACGCTAGTATTTTGGAACTTCCAATAGTTCACTATGGGTTCAATAGTTCAATGTACTTGAGCCCGTAACCGATGAACGTGCCCTTGTGGAAGCCTGCTACTGATACTGTATTTATCGTTTTTTACGTGGTCAGTAACGCGAGGTCTCCTGGTATCGACACCCTTCCCCGTGAAATAGGATGGTCTTTATAGAAATGATGTCTTGAATAGAAGGAAGAAGTCCACAGGAGGATGCGGAAAATAAACAGAATGATCTTTTACACTAAAGTCAAGGAAGGCATTGGCAATAAGCTGTTTTATCACGTCGGGTAACAGATGCATTTCATGGTCAAACCGCTAGGGTGCAGGCCTTACAACAGTTTTGTGGCCGTTGCAGGCACCAATATTGTATCCAGAACCGTGCCTATCTTGTTCTAAGCCCTAATGGGCTAGGGTAGGATCATACACGGTTCTGAATCGTCCCCACGTATATTAATAGTCTCCAAGAACGGATATTTGTCTCAGACACGGTTTGGGATATCCAGAACCGTGACTGAGCATGGTGAAGCACGGGTCTGGATACAACAACCATGCCCAATCCCGAATCAGTTCACGTAAAAAAAACAGCAATGACATACCAACATTCTCCGTAGATAACTCAATAATCAGCAGAGAAATGATTCTACAGAAAGGCGAGGTAATAAGTTCAACTATTTCAAACAAAGAAGGGAGAATATTGTTCCAGGTAATTAAAAAATCAACAGCGGCGATGAAAATAACATTTATTGCATGTTTATGCACAAAAGGCATTCCGAATTAGCATTCGCATTCAGAAGGCATTGCAACTAATATTTGAAAGTATAATACAAAGCAAATGTTCTACACTACACCAAAATCAAAAGTTAACGTGGCGAGTCTATTTTCTTAAAACACATATAAACGAATTCACGTTTTTCCGGTTACATGGGTGTTTGCTTTCTTTCCTTCTTTCTTCTTTCTTTCTTTATTTGCACATATATAAAAAAAATTCATGATTAAATAATAGCATTCAAAGAATATGCGGGGTAGGCCAGAAACCTAGGTGGTTTTTCAAAGGGCCTACCCCAAACAAAGGTAACTTAAGACAAAACATATTTGAATTAAACATCAAAATTAAACAATGAAATAATTGATTAATTAAACAAAATCAAGACACAGAAATAATAACTGGAGTGTGTAAACTCGTTTGCATCTATGAAAAGAAATGTAAACAAAAGTCTTATACATGTAATTCAGGTCGCTGTTACAGAATAAACTGATTAGATAATTAACATAAAAAATGTTGCTATAAGATATGAGAACATGTCGCTTATTGCTAGATAAGAACATCTCTGTCCTAACCGTAATGCATTGACAAGAGAATGATAAGAACTATTTTTAATTCCAATCTAATATAAGTTTTTTTTTTTACTGGAGGATAAAATTGCCTCTCATTACTACATCATGAAAATTCTCAACAGTAATTTCTCCTGTTAAACCTCTGGCTTCTATTCTAAGGCTGTTTTCCGGCACCCAGCTTTAAATGAATCTCATAACCTTTGTAAATACCACTGATTCTAATTATACCTGTCGATGCCTATTCTAGTAAGGCCCTTTATGTATACAAAGGAAGTCTTCAAAATCATAAATGTCACCGATTCCAATTACACGTCTCAGTACAAGCTCTTGTTCTTTATTTAGTAGTGTTCGCATCAGATTGAAAATGTCATAGAGTCCAATAACATCTCAGAATGCTGCTGTTTCATAAGCTAGAAAATGTCAAGGATTTCGATTAAACTTGGCGATGTTTTTTTGTGTGTTTTTTTTTTCACTTTGCATGTCGAAGTTGCCAAATCTTTTATTTCACAGAGCGGCGTCCGCCAGCACTTTTCTATAAGAAAGTTTCATACAAACTGGTAAACTGGTCATCGTCTTTCTCAGCTGCTCAATCATTGGTTCATCGCCAGAGAGAATCATTGGTTATCACCTCGACAAGCGTACTTGGGTAGCACATAAAGGAGCACAACGATTCCGTAGTAATTTGATTATGGCGTAAACAAAATGATTCAGCGAAATGGAGGAACTAATATGGATTCAAACATACACAAAACACAGAGGGACTGATGATGGCGTTAAGTGATCTTTACTGTGCACACTGTGCCACGATATTGAGACCCGAGCCGTGCCTTGTCCCAAACCGTGCCCAGGCATGGTTAGGGACACTCGGCGCGTGTTCCAAACCGTGCCTGGGGCAAATCTACATTCTGGGACACGCGTTGGGTTTGGGACAGGCACGGTTTGGGACAGGCACGGTTTGGGACAGGCACGGTTTGGGACAGGCACGGTTTGGGACAGGCACGGTTTGGGACAGGCAAGGGTTGGGACAGGCACGGTTTGGATGCCTCGGTAGCTACTCCACATCCGTTTCGCTCTCACCGTCATTCTCGAACACGTAGCCGGGAGTCGTGTCGTAGTCAGGCTCAAGGGTCCATGGAGATCCGGCAGGGACCCTGAGATGATATTGGAAAAGACACTTGTCGGCAAAAGACACTTATCGGCAAAAGACACTTGTCGGCATAAGACGCTTGTCGACATAAGACACGTGTCAGCAAAAGACACTTACTAGCAATTGCATGTTTTATGGACAGCTACGTCAATTCAGTGTTCCCACGTGTAAAGATATAGTACCCAGCAACTCTATGTACTCGATTTATATTTTACTGCACCAGTACCACCAGTTAAAAAGACACATTTGGCCAACATTGCAGTGTAAGGTTTACACATACCTGGTCCCCCCTGGCCGAGGTGAATGGTGCATCCCGCCAATAGGACCGCGGTTGGTAGGACCTCCGGCGTTGGTATCCCGTGGACCACCGCGACTGCCCTTGGCCTGAAAATCAACGAAGGTTTTGCGTTAGAGTTTTTGCTTCACCTGTTCTGACCACGGTTTTTAAATCATAAATTGCTACAACCACGTTGTTATGAGCTACCAAGTCGCTCTTAATTTCAGAGAAATTTTGTGGGGTCGTGTGTATATAAGTTGAAAATACTTGAGTGTGCCGTCACCTCGTCTGGTGATTACATGTTGGAATATGAAAAAAAATTAGAGAAACTTCTAGACGTGTCTGTAATAAGGAACGAGTTAGGCAAGTTCCACATTGGGATGAGGCATGTTCTGAATTAAAGGCAATATATTTGCTTGTTGCACAGACACCTCCACCCAAAGCTACACATCGTACAATGAGAAACCCGGTTAAGGCGATTAAGACGCATCCTTCAAATCAAAGGCAGTGAAGAACATGTTTGACAACAACTACAGACATTAGTCTCAGCTAGCACATTGCACCCGATACACATAGCGTTTACAGGAGTAAGTGGATAACGGTGTTCACCGTTACTCAGTTAATACTGGGCTGAGATGTTCTCCCCACATCCTGAGAGAAGCGTTAACGTTGGTGACGGTAAAGGTATAACAAAGGCAGGGGGACAGTGAAGAACATGTTTCTAGTCACCTAGAACAGTTAGCCAGTACCATTTGTATAACTGATCCATGGCGCGAAATCCATGGTCTCCCGGCGTCACAAATGTGTACAAGTGTAAACATCACTGATGAGACCAGAACAAGTACATGTAAGTACAATGTACAGGTGTTTATGGATGGTTATCTGTGTTTACCATTTGATGCCGTCTCTTCCTGCCTCCTTCGCCCTCCCCCTGGCGACCTATGTCGGTCCCCGAGGCCCTGGCCTGTAGCTCTACGTCGGTGTGTCTCACCACTGGCGGCACCCTGGCAGCCGGAATGGGCAGAGGACCAGCGACTGTGTCCGGGATCGTCTCATACTGCTGCCCGGGGATGCTCCTGTAGCTCGCGTCGCGACCAGGCAGTGGCTGATCAGCATGGGTCTTCCTCAGCTCGAGCCTGTTTCCTATGCTGAAAATATCAACACACGCGCTTAAGATGGAAATCATTCTTGCCTCCGTGACAAATCGCCAGCCAAATTTTTCAAACAAATGTTAAAACATTTGGTGTTCGGGAGTAGTTCGGCAGTGTTCGGGGGGTCCAATATGACCAAAATACAACTCAAAATTCGATTCGATCCGCATGTAAAAAGGTAGGTGTGGCCTAAATCTGGTCGGACTTTAGTCGGCTTGGAGACCATTAGTAAATTCAACTTTTCGTTCAGTGGGGGATGTGCAAACAATGGCTACCTCCGAGATAAATCGACTGTTGTCAGTCGTAGCGAGAGGTAAACAGATGACGACATGTAAGTTAGTGCAAGGATTCTCACCAGAAACTTTGCGTACCAATCTCCGCGTACGACTACATTATTCACAATATGAAATGCTCAAAGGTTAACAGTTAGATTTTAGGTACAAACAGCTCGTGCCGATTATAACGTTCATAGCTGATGACCATAACTGCTATGTTCACTCTACGATACACTTTTCAATTAGTTTAAATTGCCATAAATGTTACATTTTCTCCATGCTTCGCTGGCACAAGTCTAATAGAAACGTTCCACCTACTACAGAATGGACACTGCCACAGCCAGGACGATCGCCACTCCTGCAACAACGCTCACTGCGATCAGGGCAGCTGGGGATGGATTTCCGACGGCAACAGGACACGAGGAGTTGGGATTGGCTGTTACTACCCCGGATGAGCCAAGACTCGGGGGAGATACACACTCAACTTGGAGAAAGGTAACATTAAGGCATATTGATAATGTTTACCTCATCACACGGTCAAGCTGAACAAACCACTGCTCTGCTTATATACATGTAATCGCACCATGAACGATGAAATGAAAGAAAGTTGTTCATAAAGTCCGATTTGCTACATGATGAACAGTTCATTGAATGGGAACGTGTGTTCCTATGACTCCACCATCCCTAAATATGTCAGTTATAAAATACTGTGTGTCTGGTCCTTCATTTTCTAAAGGGGTTACAATTGTTTTGGGATTTTTTATTTAAGGTCGATTGAGATGCACATGACGTGTATAGTGCATACGGCTGTATGATAATTATGAAAGAAATGTCAGTTGGCAACTCGTACGCAATGAGGATATACAGAGATGTGACGAGACCCCCATGTTATGACCAATGCTTTTTGGCATAACTGCCGTGTCAAGAAAAACAACAACAAAATGTTTACCTCTTGCTAAATTCGCGTCAGGTGTGATACAGAATACTTGACGTTCAGACTAGTAACACTTCATACTGCAATGCATCACATACGACTATTCCTTTGTACTTGCATCGATGTACGTATAGGTTATAAAACAAGAGTGATATTTTCCCTTACCTGACGTTCCGTAGAGGTTCAGCTCTCTAAGCCATGGCTGCCAGCCCGAGTGGGTCTGAGTGACGACGAACCTCCAGTACCGCGCGGTTCCCTGGAACCCGCCGAACACCTGACGATCGCTTGTCCCTCCCCGCACGTTATCGACGGGCTTGACGTCCTCCCAGGTGTACGGACTCGCAGAGAGCGAGTTTTGCAATCTGAAGACTTTGATGTCGTGTATGGTGTCCCCGTAATTGTTGAGCGCGATGCGGGTCAGAGTGTGGGGCGCTGTAAGGTCCAGTATGATGTACCTGTTGTTGGAGTAGCGGTCGGTACCTTGTGGGTTCCAGTAGGTTGCACTGTCCCCATCCAAGACTTTTGCGGCATCATATGTCACTCCGTTGCTGACATGCGGTGTGCCAGCGGAGCTCACGACCCATGACGATTTCCGGGTCAGCCATCCACCTACGGAAGAGGACGCCCACTCGTTATATAGATTCTATCGTAACAGGAAGACAACCTGAAAAGAAAGTTTACTTGGGCTCAAAAAGTGACTACTACGAGGGAGATTGCCTAATCGACACAACCCTGATTAAATAGCTTTGATAGATCTTTTGGCGCCCTATGACTTCAACGTTATAAAACATGTCAGTTCTGCCATTACAATAATTACGGATTTGGCATTGAAATATATCATTCAGTCAATAATTGGACTTACGACACAAATGCAGACCATCTATGATTTCCCTTCCTTTTAAAGACCCAAGAAAACACTTCTCACAAGTCGAGTTTCTAGAGCCTAGCGACCGAACGCTTACAAGACATCTGAAGGCTCGACTTAAGACGAAATGTCAGTCACGTCGTCCGGAAGTATTTTTGTTCCCGACCTTTTCCTTGCCATTTGGTGAACAAAACAGGTAGGTTCATCAACATCTCAGAAATAGATGTGGCACAATAATTAGATATGTGGAAACACGTACCTCCATAGACCCGTACCTCACATAGGGTGAGAATTTCGTAGGTAGGGAGTGAGATGCCGACATATCGGCCGCTCCGACCGGTACAGTCCACTGTGATCTTCTGTCGCCCTGATGTCACGCCGTGGTTCCCGCCGCATTGCGGGTTGGACGTCACGGTGGGAGAGTCGCCGACGTGAACCCGGAAGTTGTTCAGTCTCCCCTGGCAGCAGTCTTGTCGGTTGAAGACGACGACTGTGTCGATGGCTTGTGATCTGCCCAGGTCTACACGCCACCAGGGCCTGCCTTGGTTGTTCGTGTGGGTGCAGGACCCTCGGTGATAGTCCCCGTCAGTGTTGCCGTCCACTGCCCGTTTGGCGACTCCCCCATGCTCCGTACTTGACTGTGCTGTGGGTTTCCCCAAGGCCAGATTGACACCTGCGAAAAAAAGTAACGACACAATGAAGACAAGCTGTGATAGATCGATATGACATGGAATGGTACAGTATTGTGTGACAACAGGATCTGCTTAATATCTACTTCTTGTCTTCAATCTATCTAAAGATGTAAAATCTGACAATTATTCTATTTGTAAATTGCAGCTATTTTTTTAGCTCTAATCAGTAATGCTTTTGGGAATTGCTTTAGCTTTAAAACTTGCAGACTAGTAATATTCGCCAAAAAGCAGTTACTCAAGCAACTGAATATGATTTTGAAAACGTCAGACGTTTCAGCTAGTATCCACTAGCTTTCGTCAGTGACTGAGAGCAGAGGGGAAATGCAGGTTTATAAGCACAACCTATTGATTGATATGCAAATAAAGTGAAGACAAATTTTTGGAACTCGAAAAAGGAACAAATGTCAGACAATTCAAGACAAGATAATGCAAATTAGTCAGAAAGCTCCTGTTATACAGAACAGGAGCTTAAGTGTTGTCTGTTCTCGGGGCTGGGAGTGCCAAATCCCAAGTGCCGGAAAGATCGACCCGTAGCCCCCTTCCCTGTTGCGGGTGGGGTTGTACATTCTTTCATATATTGCCTCTTTAACACCCCGTTCCCACCAGCGTGTTTCGCGGTCGGCAATGTTCTTTGTATCTTACTTGGATACAAGATATAAAGAACATTGCCGACCTATTGCCAACGGCTACTCCTCAGCTATTTTCCACCACCTACAACACAACCAGGGTCACTCTTTCAAACTCGAGTCCACGGATATCTTAGACCGCGAAACACGCTGGTGGGAACGGGGTGTTAAAGAGGCAATATATGAAAGAATGTACAACCCCACCCTCAACAGGGAAGGGGGCTACGAGTCGGTCTTTCCGGCACTTGGGATTTGGCACTCCCAGCCCCGAGAACTCCTGTTCTGTATAACAGGAGCTTTCTGACTAATTTGCATTATCTTGTCTTGACTTGTCTGACTTTTGTTCCTTTTTCGACTTCCAAAAATTTGTCTTCACTTTATTTGCATATCAATCAATAGGTTGTGCTTATAAACCTGCATTTCCCCTCTGGTCTCTCAGTCACTGATGAAAGCTAGTGGATACTAGCTGAAACGTCTGACCGTTTCCAAAATCATATCCAGTTGCTTGAGTAACTGCTTTTTGGCGTATCGTATTACCTGGATGTCTAACCTTCATCACCGTGACTAGTAATATTCTTTCAGAAATACCCTATTATCCACAGTGTGACTACCATTTCATCAGTCAAACGTTTTAAGCAAGCCGTATCAAAACACTACCTACATCTACTGTCCACCCATTTCGACGTTTGCAATATTATTACCTGGTCTAACTGTTAAAACGCTGCCGAACTTAGTCATCCATTTTTTTCTCCTTTCCTAGCTACATATTTTGTATATTTCTGTTTTTTTATTTTTTGTTATAGAGATGTCAGCCTTGTAAAAGATCCTATCCTGTTGCATGACTCCTCCCAGAGTTTCTCTAAAAATATCAAATAAATAAAATGACAGGTGGATATAATGAGCGTCACTAATAACTTAAGTACTTTGTTCAAGTCTTTAAAGTAAAACAGGAAACAAGATGAAACGTCAGGCCCACAGCATGATACCTGAACTTAGTGATGACAGCTCATACTTCACAGTGACCATTGTTTCACGTGTGACTGACATGATCGACGTCTGAACCCAAGTCCTACAGTACAGGTATGTGTTGACTGAGGCAATTACTGTGACAAACAAAAATGTCACCAAAGGATTCTCCAAACCACAAGAATCCGGTCCATTGTCACCAGGTAACCCTATCCACCACTTCGTGACACACGTGAATGAGCTTTCCTGCGGTACATTGGTTGGGCCCCGGGGGGGGGGTACAGGTACACGCACCTAACGGGGTTTCGCGGGGTTACGCCAGGTTTATGTAAAAGTCGTTAAAAACTATAATCTATGGGAACATCTCTGGGTATTTTGTCAATCACTTCCCAACGCGGTGCCACGACACAGATTTTAGTTACCGAGTACAGAACTGTTGGTTTATGCGCTTTAGACGCTTATACTATACAGCGGATACTGCAAGCCAACCTCAGTCTCCTGTCTTCTCCTGGTATCCCATAACTCTAATATTAGTCTATCTGGCGTGTTGTATATAACCTGTTGTCCTAGCACTATCCAGCAGTACAGTTGGGCACACAACTATAATGGGCCGTCCTTGCCAGTCAAAGGAGGGAAGCACGCTTGACTACACTTTACAAACTAACTCACGGTCACATGCACATACCTACGGAACAATACCTTAAATCCGCCCAGCGACGTACCAGAGGCAGCCATGACCCAAAATATCACCTCATCCCTGCACAACAACCCCCTCCCTGCCCCTGCCCTGCGCAGTACAGTTGGACACACAACAAAACAACCCCCTCCCTGCGCAGTACAGTAAGCCCAAAGTACAGTTGGACACACAGTAGACACCCCTGGATGGTTTGCCAGACCCCCCCATCCCCCTCGTACCTCGGCCCAGTAATACCGTAGTACTTTGCTAGTGCCCGGCCTGGCAGTCGGTACATGATAAGCAGATCTTTTGGTATCAAATTGGCCAGTCTAACCATTTGCCCACCCAAATGGTGGGGAAATGGTTACAGACTGGCCAATTTGATACTGTCTTAACCCCAACAAAAGATCTGCTTGGAGATGAGTACATGAGCCGTTGTCCCAGTACTAACCTGCAGTACAGTAGGACACACAGTCCGCAGCACAGTCACAGGTTGTCGTCGCTGTAGTAAATGTACAGTAAATTACTTAAATGTCAAGTAAGAGTAAATGTGTGCACTCAGTTTTAAAGTTAAAGCTTTGTTTTAGCGCAACGTCAAGAAAAGAAGGTATATTGTGTACTAATGTGACTAAAACGTCCACCTGTGGAACTGAAGAAATGTAGTAATAAAAATGGACTTACCTTCCACTCTGCTATCCTGATATATCCAGCAGACGGACATGAGAACAACAAACTGTAAGACTCGGTTGAGTCCGAACGTGCAGAGCAGGAGACCAGAACGCTTCATGTTTTCCCTGTGTCGCCTTCCGCGACAAAATCCGGGCTGTTTTACAGTTTTTAAACCCCAGAATTTCACAGTATCACCGCCGTATAACGCCTAGGCTATCTTCTGCCAGGTCTCTTTGTGAAGTCATGACGGAAATCGGTGTCACAGAACTTCTCAGAAGCGTGAAGACTTATGTTAGTCATTTCTGATCTACACATTGTTCCTCGGGTTGACGTACGTCACGATTAGGAGTGTTCCATTCAACTAGATGGGGGTGTACAGGGATCACTTTTAGAGGCACATGGCGTACACTTATGGCCTTCTCATTTTGTTGTTTACCGAAGGAAAACACATTGTTTTTGTTCAGTTTCTTCCTCTTCTTCTTCTCCAGTGACCTCTGACCTGACCAATGACATGATTTGTTGACGTCTGTCACCATGGTGACTGGTGTTGGGTTACATATTGTTGCAATTTCATGGTCTGCTCTGCTCCTGTCGCCATATACTAGTAGTACATGTATGTGAACGTGTTTGAGTAAAAATTGACAGAGCGGGCCATGTCCGAAGGTAAACATTGTGCATTTGCTTTGCAAATGTTACCTTTCTAGTTTCTTTTGAAACCATGCAAAAATCGATGCGCTTGGAAGACGTCCAAACTACATGTAGCATATGCGGGGCTATGCTGTCTATATAGTGGGAGGAATCCATCCATTCATTCATACTAAGAAAGTGACAACCACGCACGATTCTCAAATTTCTCAACAAATGTCAAATTTGCTCAACATAAAGCAACTTCAATATGAAAATCATGAACAACAACTTAACGATAATCTTTGAACAAAACCAAACATATTAACGGTTTTCCTGTCGCACACATTGCGTATATCATATGATCAATCAGATTTCTCGGATATGCGACAAACGTATTGCAGAATATATAAGCTGCGCTTGGTTCAGCACAGAAAAGGCAAGTTTCGTTTTTAATACTGACATGTATTTAATAATAAAGGTCATCTAGTAAACAGGCTGAACCTATTATATTCTCTGGTTCTAACACACTGTTCCATCACAGTGGTCATTGGTGTTGGAAGTTGTCCTGGGTACCATCCTATTTGTATGCTGGGGCTCCCATACTCACTCCCTAAGAAAATTTTTAGGGAGCGAGTATGGGAGACCCGGCATACAAATAGGACGGTACCCAGGCTAGTTGGCAGTGTTTAGCATGGGGAATTCTTGTTAGGTTTAGGTTTGTCTCGCGTTTGAAATATTTGCCAAGAACCAGAGAAAGAATTGGTTCCGCCCTGCATCAGCTCCATACCTGCACCGGAAGTTCTTTCACAAATTATGGTCTCAGAACCGTATATATATTTATATAAATATATTTATGAATACATCTATAGTATCTGTCAATACAACAAATATAACGGAAGGAACTGAGCAAAAACAATATGAACCTCCAGGAGAATACTTACATGTACGTATCAACAAACATTATTCATCCATGGCCTGAAGGCAACGGCAAGACTTAAGGTACATTTCATAACTCCGTGAGATAACGTGCTCACAGCCCACAGCGCTAGCGGCGAAAACTCACCGCCTTGTCGGAGGCAATAATAAAGTCTTTATCTCCCGGTGATACGGCAGTCCCTATTCCCGCCATTGACGTAATGAACGTCCGTTTGTCCCCCCAGGAAGGCTCTGATGTGTTCGTTTTTCCCCGGAGACGCGCGATAACCGAAATTGGGTCTTTTAATCGGACTAATTTCGCAGCCTCCGCGTTATTTCCCTTCTGTGTGAACCCGGAGGCACAAAGACCCGTCTCGCCGCTGCTGCTCTGCAGACAGTGCTTTTGTGTATGTATCTGCTACTTAATTGATCACCTTTATTTTCTTTTAAAGTCAACTCTCAAATACTCATTATTACACAGCTATATCTCTCCGAAACTAAGCGATTTAACAACTGATCTATATTTCTGTATTAATTTATAAAATCTTAATAGATAAACTTCGTTCTCTTGTTACCTGGACGTTACCCATGTTTTGTGATGTAATTTTTATGTTATGTTTAGTGTTGATGTGAATATAAGCATATTGCTTGAGTGCATGCGTTACCACTATGCATTGTATCATTTGCATGTTGAAACAAGAATTCCGAGATTTCATACCTCCATGAAATATGGGCTTGATATGTAAATGTAAATTTCCTCTTTAATTATGCAAATTACCTCCGCATTAACATGATATATGCATTGTGATGTATGTGAACTTTTGATTAACTTACAGATGTCCCAAGTATGACATTCCCATAATTCACCATTAAGAAATCATAGAATTTTTGCATAAATTATGCAAATTAGGTCATCATTTGCATAATTAGTATCTGTTGATGTTCTGCCTGCCATAGGTTACATACATTGCATGTATGAAAGTAGTATAATGTAAAACACTGTAATTATAGAATTTCCTCATTAATTATGCAAATAAAGTCCTCATTTGCATAATTTGCATTTAATCATGTACATCTCTCTGTCAGCTACCTACACACCAAAATTATGAAAATATGTTGTTCCTATCTTGACTTATTGGCTTTTAAACATTTCGCCAGAAAGTGCCCTGCAGTTCCAGAACAAGCTGCTAGGGGGACCAAACTCACACCACTTACTCCTCACAGGAAAAGCAATCTTTCACCAAAACATCAAGACCATAGCATGTTCAGGACAAAAGATACAAAAACCGGAAGTTCTGCTGCAGTACCAAGGTCATCCACCAGGAGGCCCATATTTGACCTTGACGTTTGTCTTCCTAAGACTTACCAACATACCAAATATCATCATAATCCATAAAGGCGTTCTGAAGTTATGCTGACCACAAAGTTGCGGAAACACAGACAGACAGACACACAGACACACAGACAGACATACATACATACATACATACAGACAGACAGACACGCCAAAAACAATACCTCCATTTTTCATGGAGGTAATAAGAAAAAAGACAGGACTGGATGCAAACAGCGTCATAAAAACTCCGTGCCCATACATCAGCACAGGGGCGAGTCTAAATCAACCACTCGGCAAAGTGGGCGCAAATAAAAACCTAAAGGACTAGAATTATTCATGGGGCTCGTAAAGCTGCATGTCACGAGTACACCGGTTAGATCTGACATATAAAATAAGTCTGTCAGCAAAAATATCGGATGGTGTTTAACGCTAGTATTTTGGAACTTCCAATAGTTCACTATGGGTTCAATAGTTCAATGTACTTAAGCCCGTAACCGATGAATGTGCCCTTGTGGAAGCCTGCTACTAATACTGTATTTATCGTTTTTACGCGGTCAGTCCGTGAGGTCTCCTGGTATCGACACCCTCCCCGTGAAAAAGAATTCTCTTTATAGAAATGATGTCTCGAATAGAAGAAGTTAACACTACACTAGGGTCAGCGTCATCTCGTTTAAAGGAAGGCATCGGCGATGAGCTGTTTTATCACGTCGGTTAGCAGCTGCATTTCATGGGCAAACCGCTAGGGTGCAGGCCTTACAACAGTTTTGTGGCCGTTGCAGGCACCATTGCATCCAGAACCGTGCCTATCTTGTTTTAAGCCCGAATAGGCTAGGGTTAGGATCAGTCACGGTTCTGAATTGTCTCCACGTATATTAATATTGATAGTCTCCAAGAACGTATATTTGTCTCAGGCACGGTTTTGGATATCCCGAACCGTGACTGAGCATGGTGAAGCACGGTTCTGGATACATGCACAATCCCGAATTAGTTCACGTAGAAAACACAGAGATAACTCAATAATCAGCAGAAAAATGATTCTACAGAAAGGCAAGGTAATAAGTTCAAGTAATAAAACATAATATTTTAAAACACAGAAGGGTGAATGTTGTTCCAGGTAATTAAAAAATCAACAGTGGCGATGAAAATAACATTTATTGCATGTTCATGCACAAAAGGCATTCCGAATTAACATTGGCATTCAGAAGGCATGGCAACGTATGTCTGAAAGTATAATACAAAGCAAATGTTCTACACTACACCGAAATCTAAAGTTAACGTGGCGAGTCTATTTTCTTAATACACATATAAACGAATTCGCGTTTTTCCGGTTACATGGGTGTTTGCTTTCTTTCCTTCTTTCTTCTTTCTTTCTTTATTTGCACATATATAAAAAAAATTCATGATTAAATAATAGCATTCAAAGAATATGCGGGGTAGGCCAGAAACCTAGGTGGTTTTTCAAAGGGCCTACCCCAAACAAAGGTAACTTAAGACAAAACATATTTGAATTAAACATCAAAATTAAACAATGAAATATTGATTAATTAAACAAAATCAAGACACAGAAATAATAACTGGAGTGTGTAAACTCGTTTGCATCTATGAAAAGAAATGTAAACAAAAGTCTTATACATGTAATTCAGGTCGCTGTTACAGAATAAACTGATTAGATAATTAACATAAAAAATGTTGCTATAAGATATGAGAACATGTCGCTTATTGTAAGATAAGTACATCTCTGTCCTAACCGTAATGCATTGACAAGAGAATGATAAGAACTATTTTTAATCCCAATCTAATACAAGTTTTATTTCCTACTGGAGGATAAAATGCCTCTCATTACTACTGTACATCATGAAAATTCTCAACAGTAATTTCTCCTGTTAAACCTCTGGCTTCTATTCTAAGGCTGTTTTCCGGCACCCAACTTTAAATGAATCTCCTAACCTTTGTAAATATCACTGATTCTAATTATACCTGTGGATGCCCTATTCTATTAAGGAAGTTTATATATACAAAGGAAGTCTTCAAAATCATAAATGTCACCGATTCCAATTACACGTCTCAGTACAAGCTCTTGTTCTTTATTTAGTAGTGTTCGCATCAGATTGAAAATGTCATAGAGTCCAATAACATCTCACAATGCTGCTGTTTCATAAGCTAGAAAATGTCAAGGATTCCGATTAAACTTGGCGATGTTTTTTTTTGTGTGTGTATTTTATTTATTTTTTTCACTTTGCATGTCGAAGTTGCCAAATCTAGTTGCCAAGTCCGCTAGCGCTTTTCTATAAGAAAGTTTAATACAAGCTGTTAAACTGGTCATCGTGTTTCTCAGCTGCTCAATCATTGGTTCATCGCCTGAGAGATGCTGGTCACCTCGATAAGTGTACTTGGGTAGACACATAAAGGAGCACAACGAAATGGAGGATATGGATTCAAATATACACAAAACACAGCTGAGAGGGACTGGTGATGACGTTTTAAAGTGATCTTGATCTTTACTGTGCACACTGTGCCACGATGTTGTGTCCCGAACCGTGCCTTGTCCCAAACCGTGCCCAGGCATGGTTTGGGACACTCGGCGCGTGTCCCAAACCGTGCCTGGGGCAAATCTACATTCTGGGACACGCGATGGCCTTGTCCCAAACCGTGCCTGGTCCCGACAATTACTATGACTGACAGCACATCCGGACACGGTTCTGGACAGATAGGCTGTGTCCCGTTCTGTGCCCGCTCAGGCATGGTTTGGGCCAGGCACGGTTTGGGCCAGGCACGGTTTGGGCCAGGCACGGTTTGGGCCAGGCACGGTTTGGGACAGGCACGGTTTGGGACAGGCACGGTTTGGGACAGGCACGGTTTGGGACACACCACACGGCCCGGGATGCCTTGCTTGGTAGCTACTCCACATCCGTTTCGCTCTCATCGTCATTCTCGAACACGTAGCCGCGAGTCGTGTCGTAGTCAGGCTCAAGGGTCCATGGAGATCCGGCAGGGACCCTGAGATGATATTGGAAAAGACACTTGTCGGCAAAAGACACTTACTAGCAATTACATGTTTTATGGTCAGCTACATCATATCAGTGTTCCCACGTGTAATAATATAGTGTCGGCAGAGTACCCAGCAACTCTATGTACTCGATTTATACATTGCTGCACCAGTACCACCAGTTCAAAAGACACATTTGGCCAACATTGCAGTGTAAGGTTTACACATACCTGGCCCCCCCTGGCCGAGGTGAATGGTGCATCCCGCCAATAGGACGGCCTTTGGTAGGACCTCCGGCGTTGGTATCCCTTGGGCCACCGCGAGTGTTCTTGGCCTGAAAATCAACGAAGGTTTTGCGTTCGAGTTTTTGCTTCACCTGTTCTGACCACGGTTTTAAAAAAAAATCATAAATTGCTACAGCCACGTCTTTCTAAACGTTGCTATGAACTACCAAGTCGCTCTCAATTTCAGAGAAACTTCTAGACGTGTCTGTAATACGAAAACGGAGTTAGGCAATTTTCACCTTGGGATGAGGCATGTTCTGCATTAAAGGCAATATATTTGCTTGTTGCACAGACACAATAGCCCAAAGCTACACATCGTACAGTGAGAAACCCGGTTAAGTCGATTAAGACGCATCATTCAAATCAAAGGCAGTGAAGAACATGTTTGACAACTACAGACATTAGTGTCAGCTAGCATATTGCATTAGTAACTGGATAACAGTGTTCACCGTTACTCAGTAAATACGGGGCGGAGAGAAACGCTGGTGCCAGTAAAAGGTATAGCAAAGGCAGGGTGACATCGAAGAACATAATTATGTTTGACCACTGCAGACATCAAAAGGCACCAAGCACATTTAGTCAGTAACCATATGTAGAACTGTACACATCACTGATGAGACCTGAACAAGTACATGTAAGTACAAAGTACAGGTATTTATGGATGGTTATCTGTGTTTACCATTTGATGCCGTCTCTTCCTGCCTCCTTCGCCCTCCCCCTGGCGACCCATGCCGGGCCCCGTGGCCCTGGCCTGTAGTTCTATGTCGGTGTGTCTCACCAATGGCGGCACCCTGGCAGCCGGAATGGGCAGAGGACCACGGACTGTGTCCGGGATCGTCTCATACTGATGCTCGGGGATGCTCTTGTAGCTTCCGTCGCGACCAAGCTGTGTCTTAGCATCCTGGATCTTTCTCAGCTCAAGTCTACTTCCTATGCTGAAAAGCATGTTTTTCTTATTAAGAAGCTCTGTGGACACTGCACAAAAGGTGAGATTTGTGAGTGACTGTAATGTTTACATTATCGAGTAATGTTTACTTTATAGCACTTTTGAGCATTTGTATTTAATGAAAGTCAAGGCCAGTTATTTCATTTACTACGTAGACATTTTCTCCATGCTTCGCTGGAACTACTAGTAATCTGATAGAAACGTTCCACCTACTACAGAATGGACACTGCCACAGCCAGGACGATCGCAACTCCTGCAACAACGCTCACTGCGATCAGGGCAGCTGGGGATGGATTTCCGACGGCAACAGCACCTGGAAAGGATGAGTTGAAATCAGCTAATCAGCTATTACTTGATAAACCAAGATCAGGGAATGATACTTGTAGAAAAGTAACATTTACGCATAATATTTACCTTCATATGGTCAAGCCTAACAAACTACCGCTCTGCTTATACAAGTATGAACAGTTTGAAACAGCCGCCTGGCGCAGATGAACAATAGGTGTCTCTTTAGTGATGTTTTTAGAATAATTTTACCAACAGTTTATTTCATCAATTCCTTGTCAAAACTCTGGATTCTAGTTTGCTCAGAAAGTTCCACACCTCCAGAGGCTCCTGCTGGCTCCGTCATCCCCTCCGACTCACAGTACCGGCCCGCGGGGCACTGGGAACAGTCTTCAGCGGCCCCCAGTCCCGTCACATTGGAGAAGGTACCTGGTGTGAGACCAAAAGCGATACAAGAAGAACAGTTGAGCATGAGCTGAACTGTAGTGATTTGTATTGGAGCTTAGATTTGGGATCCAGAGGTAAGCTTATATCTTCTGTGGAAATTGTACCATTTGCACGTTACCGGTTTCTAGAAATGGTTTCTACCGTAGAATGTTGACATTAGACTCACCTATTGGGCAGGGCTGAGGCGCGTGGCTGCCACGTGTACAGAAGTGTCCTGCAGTGTTATAGGTGAGAGGGGGATGTGGAAAGTTTAAGTTGTGAGTGCAAGGTATGGGCAAGGGTTTACGTTAAGATTAAGAGAAATATATTTTGTACACTTTTATCACCTAGGCAGGATGTTGTCCATTTACTGCAGCAGCTGTCTGCCTTTACAGTCGGTACTTCATGTATATGCTACTATATTGAATGTTAGTTTCACTCATTCCATTGTTTATGTATCATGATGCTGAACATTGTTTGAAATGAAGCATACACAATACATATGAACCATACATCAGAACCACAGTCTGTTCCACATAGGGGCATAGCCCTGTACAACAAAGAACTATTATATCACCAAGCTTTATCTTTCCCAAACCTCACCTGTATTAAGGTTTTTTGCTTGGTATATAATGAAATGGTCAAATGGTCACCAAAATGTTCCCCAGCTTTATTCACCTTCCCAGCCTACAAAAAACTGCATTTCTATTAACACCTCCCAATTCATATATCTCGCAAAACGTCAGCCATTTCATACTCCACTGCACACGGAAAAGAAATCAAACCCAACAATAACTACAAATGTATAAAATATAAAGTAGCATTAGCATCACTTATTATCATTCTACTGTTTACTGTTGTTATCATGTTCTTGCAATTAGCCCTCGGGCATGAATTTGCAATAAACTTTCTATTAAAATATAATAATGTATTGTATTGTATATGAAGGACTGTACATATTATCTGTCTTGTCTATTGTAATTTGTAATTTTTGTACGCAAACTCTTCCAATTCAGGGATTCTCCTCCCTGCTGCAAGGTTTGCTTTTGGTGTCACAAATAAAGAACAAAATCTGGGTATGACACCGGCAGTACTTGGTACTTACCCGGTGGACAGATGTACTCTGGAGGACTGGGTGTTCGCTGTCCGCCCGGGCAGTAGTACCCGGCATTACACAGTCCAGTCGGACCCGTGTTCTCATAACCCGCACAGTAACTCCCCATGGTGCAGGCTATACAGTCTTCAGCGGCCCTCAGTCCCGTCACATTGGAGAAGGTACCTGGTGTGAGGCCAACAGCGATACAAGAACAGTTGAGCATGAGCTGAACTGCAGTGCTTTGTATTGGGGCTTAGATTTGGGATCCAGAGGTAAGCTCATATTTTCTGTGGAAATTGTACCATTTGCCATGGTTTGCTGGCACAAGTCTAATAGAAACTTTCCACCTACTACAGAATGGACACTGCCACAGTCAGGATGTTTCTACCGTAGAATGTTGACATTAGACTCACCTATTGGGCAGGGCTGAGGCGCGTGGCTGCCACGTGTACAGAAGTGTCCTGCAGTGTTATAGGTGAGAGGGGGATGTGGAAAGTTTAAGTTGTGGGTGCAAGGTATGGGCAAGGGTTTACGTTAAGATTAAGAGAAATATATTTTGTACACTTTTATCACCTAGGCAGGATGTTGTCCATTTACTGCAGCAGCTGTCTGCCTTTACAGTCGGTACTTCATGTATATGCTACTATATTGAATGTTAGTTTCACTCATTCCATTGTTTATGTATCATGATGCTGAACATTGTTTGAAATGAAGCATACACAATACATATGAACCATACATCAGAACCACAGTCTGTTCCACATAGGGCCATAGCCCTGTACATCAAAGAACTATTATATCACCAAGCTTTATCTTTCCCAAACCTCACCTGTATTAAGGTTTTTTGCTTGGTATATAATAATGTATTGTATTGTATATGAAGGACTGTACATATTATCTGTCTTGTCTACTGTAATTTGTAATTTTTGTACGCAAACTCTTCCAATTCAGGGATTCTCATCCCTGCTGCAAGGTTTGCTTTTTGATGTCACAAATAAAGAACAAAATCTGGGTATGACACCGACAGTACTTGGTACTTACCCGGTGGACAGATGTAGTCTGGAGGACTGGGTGTTCGCTGTCCGCCCGGGCAGTAGTACCCGGCATCACACAGTCCAGTGGGCCCCGTGTTCTCATAACCCGCACAGTAACTCCCCATGGTGCAGGCTATACAGTCTTCCAGCTGCCTGTTACCTGTCATAACAACGATAACAATGATGTGTATTCTTGCCGAACAGGGCTCAATGCATTAAATTAGATACTGAGTAAACTATGCTATGCCTTTATCTATATCAGATTTTTACTCTATAATTCTTCTGCTTTCTTCTATGTAAATGAATTTACAGATTTTTAAAATCATGTCGTAGTTGATGATGACATTACGGATGTGAACGTGTCGTTATTTCTGAAATATTAAATATTAAATGTTTAAAAAATCTCTAATCTAGATGTATGTCACTGAGTATTACGTATTGTTGGCATATTGAGCATTGATAACAATAGATTTGCAATATAAGCGCCATTGTAATGATGAGAAGTAGATAGAAAGGATGCATTTTCATAATTACAGATTTTCAAGGGGTGCTCTGTGCTGTGCTGGTTATAAGGAGTATACAGATAGAGAAATGACAATGCTCCGAGTTGCATCTTACTGTAGTTGCAAACTAATGAGAATGACTTACCATAGTTATTGGAAAAGGTGCCAGGAGGGCAGGAGATTGTGAAGCTGCTGCCTTCTGGGCAATAGTAACCTCTGGGACAGATGTCACCTGTACCGATAGCAGGTTAAAGATTTGTAAGCTGTAATCCAAGATTCTACTTGACATTTTATCTAGATATCCATTAATTAATTAATTAATTAAACTTCTATGTATTAATGAGGTACACTAGTCCTCTATACAATGTATGAAATCTGCGTTGCAGTGGATGATAGTAACCTTGTAAGTTACATATATTCTTATGCGTGCCAGAGAACAGTGGTCTCTTTAGTGATGTTTTTAGAATAACTTTACCAACAGTATATTGCATCAATTCCTTGTGAAAATCTGCGTAGATCACCAACACTAGCTAAGATCTCAGCTTACTTCCACAGACTGGCACGTCACACAGCTCCCATCTCGTGTAGGGATCCGTGGTGTAGCACCAAACTCCGGTCCAGCCGACTGGATCGCGCGGATTCCGGCAGTAGTTCTGCTCCAGTCCTGCTGAAGGATAATTAGCGGGTGTCCTGTCGTGTTCATGGGGCGTCTGACTGTCCCAGCGCTGACACGTCAAGCCTGTTTCAGTCACAGAGACGGTTCCTCGGTAGGATGTCCCATCCCCCACCACGCAGGTTTCTGGTTGATCAAACAACTGTGTTGAATTTGAATTTCAAGTGCAGCATAGCAATATTGGAATGGGCAAACACGTTAACCCCACATCTTACACTCATAAAAGCCGTTCACATGCCTAAAGCATACACACGAGAAGTGTAAAGTAGTATAAATTGATGTATGGTCAGCCTACATAAGCAATAAGAATCCTTTCGTGTACACAAAGCAGTTATATTTTCATGCAGTATCGTAAACGTATATACGTTTATTCAAGAGACAAAATTTTGACTCTGAAATGATGCCATAGCTAGGCAGCAGCACTGAAAGCATCAAACAGGAGATATAAGGAGTTTATGACTTACCCATATCTAGTCGTGGTATTTAAAAACATAGCTAGGATATAAGGATTTTAAGAATAGATTTTTTTTGGTTCCAATCATCGTACGTTATCCTTAGCCTGGGTTCCATCCTGGTTAGTTGACAGGACTATACGTCATGTACGAATGTATATGGTCATACCGGCTGTGTCGCCGTCATACGGATTAGGAATTCTGGCCCCTAACAGACAGTAGTACCCAGCAGTACAGTTCCCGGTGGGCTCGGCCAGCCCGTGGTTGTCGCAGTACATCCCGGGGGTGCAGGGCGTGGCCTCGGAGCTGCCGCCCGGACAGAACTGGCCGGGAGAGCAGCGCCCGCCCTCCGCTACCGTCCCCGGCTGGGCAGACTTCGCTCCGACCGTACAGAACCAGCCCGGATCACACTCGCCTGTGGGCCAGGCCAGGCCCGGGGTCTGGCAGTAGGACCTGTAAGGTAGGGGGGCTGTTAGTCATACATCTACATGTATGTCTATCTACACACACACACACACACACACACACACACACACACACACACACTAACAGACCATGTACATCTAACATGTCTAACTACAGAACCAGCCCGGATCACACTCGCCTGTGGGCCCGGCCAGGCCTGGGGTCTGGCAGTAGGACCTGTAAGGTATGGTAGACTGTTAGTCATACATCTACATGTATGTCTATCTACACATCTACACAAACACACACACACACACACGCGCAAACATGTACATCTAACATGTCTAACTACAGAACCAGCCCGGATCACACTCGCCTGTGGGCCAGGCCAGGCCCGGGGTCTGGCAGTAGGACCTGTAAGGATACAGGTGACTTATTCTTCGTTTACAATCAAACACACGCACTAAATGACAACCTCAAAAGTCTCTCTAGGCCAGGATAGGCCAAGGGTCTGGCATTAGCAGCCGAAGAGTGTTACATCTAGCTTTACGATCATGCGTAACTCGTTGAGCATGAGGATCTGATAGTGTTCTAACAGACCCTCACATGTCACTCTGTGCCAAGATAGGCCGGGGTTTAGGACCTGGAAATCCACTGAAGACTTGTGGCATTTAAACTAGATACAATGAATAAACACAAATAAGTTAATGCAAGATTAACTGATGCAGATGTAGTCAGAAAAGTCATGAGCATCAACTTGTACATGGTTGTCGATCACATCTAAGAGCAAACAAAGCGAGTGTACATGAACATACCCAGGAGGACAGGGGAGACACTCGTCTTCACTAGTCGCCCTCAGGACCGGTGTGTAAGTACCTGACGGACAGGGGAACATACAGCTGTCTCCCAGCAGACAGTGCCGGCCTCCAGGGCAGCTGGGGAGGAAACAAACCGTCTCACAAACTGTTTGGACAGATCTTACGATTGGCAAGGTACGTAGTATGCCTTCGGCCAAGCAGTTTCCGTTTGCCAATGAATTGTACATGCTACATGTACGTGGCCGGTGGGATACTGCCTTGCCAATGCAGGATCTGCTCGGAGATTACACACACATACATACATACACACACGTGTTGTTACCACACGTGTTGTTATTAGTTTACACAATAATTGATCATCATGTTGATCATTGGTCGTCGTTCTTTTTTCGCTCTTTTTCCCTGATTGTTCCTGTTTTTCTTTACCTACATGTATGGCAATTCCTTTTCAAAGAACAGATTTCTCTGCAGCTGTTTGCTAAGTTTTGGGAAAGGGCTTGTGAATTCAGAAAGTACCGTATTCATTACAGCTACATGTACGAAAAGAGAAGGATTGGCAGAATGTTTCTGGTATGTCTCCGACCGAGTACACACAACAGACGGGTAACGCTTTGTGAGTAAACATAATGTGTACACCGTGAAGGGTCAAAGGTGCTATGTTCTGCTGTGTCACGGATTGTTCTCTTCTTTCATACGTTAACAGCATTTGAAGCAAACGTCATGAGACGTACAAGGGAAAAAACGGAAAAATCGAACTTGGTTTAGAGGTAACAGATGTTAAAAAAACTACGAACTATAAAGTCAGCGTGTCATGGTGACCATGGTATCTACTGATTGACATCTCAGGACCCTAACCCAATATTTATCGTGCCATAACTGCACCAAACAAACAGCCGTCGGCAAACAGCAGTCTTGCCGCCAGCCCTGTTAAACTCTACGCAACAGAACGTTGTAAAAAGACTCCTCTCCTGTATCGATTATGAGGGTCGATTATGACTGTTTCGGGAAACGTCTGTTGCCATGTACATGTTTGGTGAGTCAGAGTTCGTCAAGGTGCACAGAACTCCACTCACCGCTTTGTGACTTGCCTGATTGAATTTCCTTGCCACTGTTAGCAAACAAGGCTACAAGGACACGCTCGGCAACACGGCGTCATTCAGTGCAGCATGTTGCTACCAAACATTTACAGAGCACTAGAAAGGGATATATATCGTATTATGCATGATAATATAAACCTTTCTGCGCACAACCAAAAAGACGTTGAAGAAAGACTAACTAGTGCCCAGCCCAGCCGGACAGTCAGTGCATGACCCGTTGTCCCAGTACAGTTGCATTTTGGACACACAGTCCACCCCCCCCCATATAGTTGGACACACAAGGCCCCCTTGTATGGTATAACACCCCCTATAGTACCCAAGGTCCAGTAAAACCGTAGTACTTACTAGTACCCAGCCGGACAGTCGGTACATGACCCGTTGTCCCAGTAGTGACCAGCAGTACAGTTGGACACACAGTCCACACCACAATCACACGTTGTTGCTGTATTAGAAGAAATCAGGAAAGAATCAGCTGGCAAGCTCTTATGTCATGGTTAGAATATTTTTAGGAGCGACACAAAGTCGTCAATAACTGGTACACAGTTTTAAGGTTGTGCCTTTGGTTTAGCGCAACGCCATAAAAATGCATATTATATCCATGTACTATTGGCTAAAACGTCTGTGGAACTGAGGAAAGGTATAAATAAATGCAGACATACCTTCCGCTCTGATGCCCTGACATGTCCAGCAGACGGACGTGAGAACAAGAACCTGTAAGACTCGGGTGAGTCGGAACGTGCAAAGCAGGTGACCAGAAGGCGTCATGACTCCCCCGTGTTTCCGTGGCAAACTCCGAGCTAGTTTTTTTAGTATTAACTAAGTGGAAAACTTTTACACCACAGAACTTCACATGTACAGTATCACCGCCGTAACGTTGAAACTATCTTCAGCTAGGTCTCTTTGTGACGGAAATGTGTCACAGAACTTTTCAGACACGTTAGTCATTTCCGATCCATGCATTGTTCCTCGGGTATTCACACTGGTGCACTTGTGACGTAGCGATTAGGAGTGTTCCATTCAACTGGATGGGGGCGTGGAGGATCACTTAAAAAAACACATGCCGTACACTTGTATAGCTACCACACGACGTGCTTTTCCATTTTCGGTGTTTCCCCCCTTAAATCAGGCAAAAATCCATGCGCGTGGAAGACACCCAAATGACATGTGGCATATGCGGGGCTAAGCTGTCTATTAATATACATGTAGTGGGAGAAATCCATTCAGTCATCCATACTAAGAAAGTGACAACGCACGATTCTCAAATTTCTCAACAAATGTCAAATTGCTCGACATAAAGCAACTTCAATATGAAAATCATGAACAACTTAACGATAATCTTTGAACAAAACCAAACATATTAACGGTTTTCCTGTCGCACACATTGCGTATATCATATGATCAATCAGATTTCACGGATATGCGACAAACGTATTGCAGAATATATAAGCTGCGCTTGGTTCAGCACAGAAAAGGCAAGTTTCGTTTGTAATACTGACATGTATTTAATAATAAAGCTCATCTAGTAAACAGACTGAACCTATTATATTCTCTGGTTCTTGGTTCTAACACACTGGTTCTAACACACAGTGGTCATTGGTGTTGGCAGTTAGCCTAGGTACCGTCCTATTTGTATGCTGGGGCTCCCATACTCACTCCCTAAGAAATATTTACAAATAGGATACCCAGGCTAGTTGGCAGTGTTTAGCATGGGGAATTCTTGTTAGGTTTAGGTTTGTCTCGCGTTTGAAATTGTGGTTTCTATTTGCCAAGAACCAGAGAAAGAATTGGTTCCGCCCAGCATCAGCTCCATACCTGCACCGGAAGTTCTTTCACAAATTATGGTCTCAGAACCGTATATATATTTATATAAATATATTTATGAATACATCTATAGTATCTGTCAATACAACAAATATAACGTAAGATAGCAACAAAAAACAGCAAGTTTTCCTTTCAATGCAGCTTTCTGAGCTGCATTTTAGAAAACAACTTTGGTTAGCACCATGAGAGGTCGGTTAATGTAAGATTGCATCAACAGAACTGAACACTTGAATGTCTTAACTCTAAAACTGCACATCGCAGGTTTTCTCCACTTCGTCCAAACTATTTTTGGTGACAATACTTAACAAAACACCTGAGAAGACCCTTCTCAACTGCCTTTTGCACATTCTACAGTCTTGCTTTTTTTTCCTTTTCAACTTTTCCTTCTCATATTTTGAAATGAAAAGGAAAACAGAAATTTTTTACAAAAAAAGTTACTGTTACAACAGTAACTTTACAGGTAGACCTGAGATGTTTACGTGCCTATATTTTTGTCCATTAAGCAAATACCCAATAGAAGTGTTCTTATGTTGCCTTGTCCACCTCAAAACTATTGTACAACTCAACATGTTATCACAGCTTTTATAAAGGCAACTTTGACAGAATATGTTTGGTTGCACAACTTAATTATAAAAAATAGGTATACAGGAAGTCACAATTACAGTTACACATAAATAGTTGGTTGTGCTGGCTAGCTATACTATGTACAGACTTCATCTGTTCTGCAGCACTGTATGTGATACAGAGAAATAAATATGTACCATGTTCAGAATAGAACTAGAAAGTTTTATAACAAGGATTGTTTTATGAATCTTCACATGAATAGTGCTGCAGACCACATGCTCTGTGAGGTGGACATTTTTCCATCCGACAGAGCTGGTACATGTATGTTTAGACCCTCATTCATCAAACAGGTCTTTTTAAGTCCCAACTGATCCCCTACAGTTGTGATGGGGTAGCCTGGGATCCAGTCTTATTGGGCTTGTGTTTTCTCCACCCACCACTGGGGAAAACTTTCACAGACACATGCCCTAAATGGCTGGATACCAGGCTAGTGATGCTGGACAAAAGGGGATAAAAAAAGCTGAATCAAAATTTTATTTTTTTTGTTGTTGATGTAAAAATTGAAGACGGGTAACAAGGAAGAATAAAACACCCACGTCAACTCTAACATTGTTTGAATTGTCATGTGAAGATGTGTGTGGTGATATTTCCTTAGTCTCCCATCTTCTGCACTATGCTGTACCCAAACATCCTTGTTACTTTGTACACACTTTCCGTCATGTTTGTTTTACTACCAAATGTGGTCTCTCGTGCCAGGCTTTATTGCAATCATTCTATCGTCAGAACCACTGCTGTAGCAAGAGGAACATCTAAAGTGAAAAAAGGCCAGCTGTTCCTTCCTCTCCTAGACAGAAACTTAAGGATAAACAACTTTTCTTCATCACAGTCTAAGAAGTTGCTGACTACAACAGATGTGAGCCTCAGCAGATAGATGGAAGTCCTAACTTCTGTGGTTCTTCCATAGGAACCACGTCAGGATTAGTGCTGTGTACCTGAACCCACATTTAGATTCAGGTATTGATTCAAGTCCAGAGGTTTACAATGTAGGTTCAGTTCTGGACTTGTAAGTCTGGACCTTAACCCATGGTATATACCAAATCACAGCGTAAGGGGCCCTATGCTCAAATAGCCTGGTGAGAACTATGATATGATTACAGAGATATGACTACAGAGTTCCACATTGTGTCAGACTATATGATTGAAGACAGACTTCAGTAAAGTTTCAGACTATGATTTTGAAGAAATCAGCAGGAGTGTTACACTTTCAGTTGAGTGAGTTTAGCAGTGTTTCAGAGTATATGGTTGTGACATCGGTGAAGGTAATAAGATATGCCAAAAAACAGTTACTCAAGCAACTGGATATGATTTTGGAAACAGTCAGACATTTCAGCTAGTATCCACTACCTTTCATCAGTGACTCTAAGAGACCAGAGGAGAAATGCGGGTTTATAAGCACGAACTATTGATTGATATGCTTCTATAGTTCGTGCTTATAAACCTGCATTTCTCCTCTGGTCTCTTAGAGTCACTGACAAAAGGTAGTGGATACTAGCTGAAACGTCTGACCGTTTCCTATATGATTGTGAGTTCACTAGTGTGACAGACTATTACAAAGAGTGAGTTCAGCAATGTTCAAAGGTAAGATTTTGAAGAGTTCAGTAGTGTTTCAGACTATTACAAAGAGCGAGTTCAGTAGTGTTTAAAGCTAAGATTTTGAAGGTTTCAGCAGTGTTCCAGACTATTACAAAAAGTGAGTTCAGCAATGTTCAAACCTAAGATTTTGAAGGGTTCAGCAGTGTTCCAGCCTACATGATTGTGAGTTCAGTAGTGTTTGAGACTATTACAAAGAGTGAGCTCTGTATTGTTTAAAGCTGAGATTTTGAAGAGTTCAGCAGTGTTCCAGACTATTACAAAGAGCGAGTTCAGCAATGTTTAAAGCTAAGATTTTGAAAAGTTGTTCCAGCCTACATGACTATGAGTTCAGTAGTGTTTAAAGCTGAGATTTTGAAGAGTTCAGTAGTGTTTCAGACTATTACAAAGAGTGAGTTCAATAGTGTTTCAGCCTACATGATTGTGAGTTCAGTAGTGTTTCTTTGGCCTGTCCCTGCACTCCTCTCCCACCACCCTTCGCGCGTTCCTCCTGAGGCTGTCGGTGTCGGCCTTCTGTCGGTCCAGGATGCGGTCCGACTTGTCGCACAGCAGCGTGAGCAGCTTGGTCAGCGTGGCCGGCCGTCCCGTCTGCAGAAACTCGTCCATCGTACGCCGAACCGGCGCAAAGTCAGAGTCCTGCTTCGGTTCGCTGAACCAAGGGACGGGCCCGAACGATACTCCTAAAACAAGAAATCAAACAGAATGATCACATCAGATTCTGTAGGTAGAGTTGTTTAGAATTTTTTCGGTCTATTGCAGCAGAACTCCTGGAACAAGAAATCAAAGGTTGATGGCATTTCTGTATTTAGAGTGTTTACGAATTCGTGAAATTCTGATCCTGTTTGGGCTCACTGAACCACGGGATGGGCCCGAATGATACTCCTAAAACAAGAAATGAAAGGTGTTTACGAATTTCTGGTTTTATTCTTTGTGAAATTCTGATTCTTTTTGGACTCGCTAAACCACAGGACTGGCCTGAACGATACTCCTGCAAAAAGACATCAAAGGTTGATCACATTTCTGTGTTTAGAGTTTTTACGAATTCGTGAAATTCTGATATCCTGTTTGGGTTCACTGAATCATGGCACGGGCCTGAACGAAACTCCTGCAACAAGACATCGAAAACCGGTCACATCTGTGAAGTGTTCAGAGTTTGTTCATGTTGTTATTTACCTGCGCTATAGTAACCCTTGATCTCGCTATCGTGTAAGCTATATGATAATATCGTTAATGGCCCGCCCTTTCTCAGTGAATATGGTGCGATAAAGCCTTGTCAGTTGCTATAACCACCTCATAAAGCCACTTCGTTCACTGCGCTCACTCGATGGCTTTATTCTGTGGTTATAGCAACTGACAAGGCTTTATCACACCATATTCACCTCGGGGCGGGTCATTAACCCTTAATTATTTACCTGCGCTATAGTAACCCTTGATCTCGCTGGCGAATCTTCCCGGACTCTCCATGTAGCTGTTTGTTTACTTGTTTATGTTTATTATTTACCTGCGCTATAGTAACCCTTGATCTCGCTGGCGAACCTTCCCGGACTCTCCATGAAGGAGCTGAAGCTCTCTGCCGAGTCCTGCTTGAAGATCTTCTTCAGACACGAGTACGGCTGCAGGCACTTGTACAACTTGGTCATGTTACGGAAGTACGACACCAGGTCCTTAAAATCCTGCTCACGACCCTCCTTCATAAAGGCTCTGCAGGAAAGAAGGGAGAAAAAAAACAGAACATATTCTCATCTTGAAAGTTCATCTGTGTTGGTAGAGATCATCATGAAGCAAGTTTAAACTGTAATATCCAACACAATGTGTTGGGTAATGTGTATCACAATGTGTTGGGTAATGTGTATCACATTGTGTTGGGTAATGTGTATCACATTTGTGTTGGGTAATGTGTATCACAATGTGTTGGGTAATGTGTATCACAATGTGTTGGGTAATGTGTATCACATTTGTGTTGGGTAATGTGTATCACAATGTGTTGGGTAATGTGTATAACAATGTGTTGGGTAATGTGTATCACAATGTGTTGGGTAATGTGTATCACAATGTGTTGGGTAATGTGTATCACAATGTGTTGGGTAATGTGTATCACAATGTGTTGGATATTACAGTTTGAACTTGCTTCAGAACATAGTCTCGATTTGGTTTTAGCTCACCGAAGAGCTGACTGTGACACTGGTTGTGACAGAGAAGACAAGACGCTACGTATAGTAGTTATAGGTTTGTTGTACCGGGGCAATTCCCTGGTACAACAAAACAGAAAAAAAATAATAAAAATATACCGGTACATCAACAAAGAGTCATTTTGATTTTGGAAATCATATTCAGTTGCTTGAGTAACTGCTTTTTGGCGTATCTAATAAGAAAATATTGATGTTTTTTACGCGTTTGGAACGGAAGAAGAAGAAGAAACTGAGCAAAAACAATTTGTTTTCCTTCGGTAAACATAAAAAATACCAGCAGGACAAGGGTTAAGACCATCATAACTTGAACAACATACTTACACTTGGGTGTTTTTAGCCACGTTATTCCTGAGAGCAAAAAGCATACATATGTGAAACGAGCATAACTTGCAGGACGTACTTGAACTTGGGGTGTTCCTTGATCATGTCCTTCCTGTGTAGGATGTCCAGGCACCTGAGAATGTCGTCGTGGACCCTCCAGTGGTACAGTCTCATCCACCTCTCCAGGAACGCCACGCCGCGCGCGTAGAACTCCGAGTCCGACACCACCCTCTCTTGCGCGTCCCCCACGAAGGCGTGGTACAGGTGCAGGTTGCACAGCCGCATCGCCTCATGTTCTGCGTCCCACTCGGGGATACGCATATCGTCCTTCAGGTAGTTCACCAGGCGGAAGAGCGCGTACATGTACCCGCGCACGGTCTCCATGCCGCGGTGAAGCTGCCCGTCCACAAAGTCTATGGTGAGGCGGTGGTGGAGGTGAGGTCCGGACCCCGCCGGCCCCACCCTGAAATAGTAGTCCCTCTGCCCGGTCATGGTGAACATGCCGCGCTCGTGCGAGGGCAGGGAGTCGTAGAAGGCCTTGAACTCGCCGGCGCGGCACCGCTCGCGCGCCAGCTTGTACTGCTGCTGGATGGTGTTGACTGCGCCGCACCGCTTCAGTACGTACAGCTGCAGGCCCTCCTTCCCCTCCTCGCGATCCAGGAGGTAGTCGTAGATGTCGCTCCACTTGTAAACCTTGTTGTTGGCGGGGCGCAGGTCCACCTGGGAGCCAACCAGGCCTGGAGAGTGCAAAAAAAAAAACGACATCGAAGTGAAATATCTCAAGTTCTTTTTTTTAATCTCGTTTTATTCATTGCTGTCAATCTCTTGCTGATTCTGTGTATTCATTTCCCCACTGGTTTTCATATGAAAGACAACAGACATGCAGGAAATGAGGTAAGTTTTGTACCATTTACTTCATCCCAGCCTCCCAATCCAACATTTGATGCAATGGTTACACCATTCCCCCCACACTTCCAGTGATTGTCTACTGTATTCAAATAAGTATAGATACACAAAAAGGGGGAAACATAAATGAGTAGTTTTATCAGGTTGGTGCTTGGGGCAATGGTCCAGGTAAACAAAAAATAGTGCACCATAGCACCTCTCCAAGCAGAGTTTTGTGTTTTGGCTAAATTATTTTTGGTATGTTGTAGGCTTTTTTATCCGGCTTTCTTCTTTTTGTATGTTGGGTTGGCCTTAGAAAAAAGCAGTGAAAAAAAAAGAAGCCTACAACATGCCAAAAAATAAGCCCAAACCCAAACCTCTGCTTGGAGAGTAATCATGACCTAAAATTATGCAAATTTCCAGACGAACCTCTGTATATTTTCTCCAGGTCTCTCTGCTCCACGTTGAAGACCTGTTTGGCCTTGGTGGTCATGATGTAGGTGTGTCCTGGCGGCGCACGCAGGAGGGCGTACCACCCCAGCTCAAACGTGGACGTGCCATGGTTGTACAACCACCTGCAACACACGGCAATCCGGTTACAGGTGGTGAGCATAGTATAGAACCGGATAGTACCCAGGCTACCTAACCCCAACAAAATTCATAAAAACTAGTAGTAGGTGCACAGCTCCAATTTCAAGTGCACAAACTAGTGCATAATTATAGGTTATAAGTTGGTTATTTCCATCCCTGATATGTACATTTCTACATGATGACTTACTTGTCGTTGTCGTTCATGAAGTAACCGACCATGTACATGTACTTGTAGGTCTCCTTGTAGGTGTCACAGGCCGGATGTCTCACCACAATGTCAAAGTCCGTCTGCAAACAACACAGGCAAAAAGGTAAATACTGAGACCACGAATTAATAGTGATTCACTACAATTTGTGAAAAAGAAATTTAAATCAGAACGGAAACAGTTAGTGAAGTTTGCTACATCCCGGGCTCATTGTTTGCGATTCCCCTACATGTACATATGCAATCATTTTCATTGTGTAAATATCTTCAGTGCTTTTAACTCATATAAGTTCCGCTTTGTTGTGAGTTTATTTACATGTATGGCTCCTAAGTTGATTTAGATGAATAACAACAATGAAGTAAACAAGATAAGAGTACACACACAAGTTACCATGAAACAGACATGGTTGAAACAGTAATATTCAATAAAATTTGGTGTGTTATTAGTAATATTACACTTTCGACAGTAGGGATTTTAAATTTGCAGAACTACTATCGTGCCAGTTCCATTCAGCCATCACATCCTGGAAGCAACTCTTCCCTCCCTCCTGTCATGTTACCTGGTGTATTTACATGTATGTATAACATGAGACTTTGTTTTCATGTCCCTCCTCTCTAATCAAAAACAAGCGACCTGCCCCTCCCTAATCCCTTCCAATGGTACACTCCTAGGTGATTATCTCAGATAACAGACCACCTTGGTGCTTCTGGTAAGAGGTGTTTGATTACACAGAGATGAAGTGAGATCAGACTACTATATAGGACATGGGGAGGTTAAAAGGTGGGGTATTAGCCCTCAAAACTGCTCTGTGTACTCACACCAGCTGGTACATACATAAAGGCAGTATCAATTCAATACACGTATGTGGTCACAGGATCTCATGTTTTTCACTTTTTGATTTCAAGGCTCCAAAATTTTCTTTAAACACCTCGACAAGCTTCATGCAATTACTTAGTAAAGAAAACTTGTGAACCAGACTCATTTTACTGGATGCCCAGAGGATGTTGTGAGTATTGCCAACTTATAATATATCAATTGCTATTAACACTACACAGTAACCGTTACATTTTCATACATGTACTTGCTGTCTGCATACATGAGAAAAAAATTGCATATTCTTTACTTAGATGAGCACATATACCGTGGTATATCAAAATTTTGAGGAATGGATAGACCGATAGATATTTATATATGGTAAGATAGAAATAGCAATAAAGATATATATAGAAGATACAGATATCCATGTAACCCTAGTCCATGGAGATATCTGGTTTCAAGTTCAATGTCAAGCTTACTCTCTAGCTTTCAGCTTTCACCAATAACCATAACTTATTAATACTAACCAGACCATTTTGGTGAATGAAATATGAATGCTGCCATCGTGAATGAACTATATTTCTACATATTATAAGTATAGGTATAAAAGCCAGAACACCAGGAGTGATTTTACTTTGTTTCCTGCAGTTGTTTAGCCTCCGTAGAAGGCTTATAAGTTATAGAACTGGGGGTTTGGTGGTCTTCGGCAGTTTTCTGATTAGCCCAGTTCAAAAAACGGGGGTAATTCAACCAGGCCGGCTATGTTGTCTAATGTGGAATCAGTATATATCACATAAAAGCTCCCAAAGACCGTGAAGATCCCCAAAACCCCCAGTTTTTGGCTTGCTATGGAGGCTAGCAGTTGTTAATGTTAACTGCTCTGAGCTGACATTGTTCAGACTGACATCCGCTGTTTCGTGCTACGTTAGACCGTGACAATGGTCCACCTGTCGTAACGACATAATTGTCTGCATAAAGCTGCATCTTCAGGGTATATATAATAACGCAGTCCCAATTGGCTTGATAGTCGGTAATTAGGCAACCCCAATCCAGTTATCTGGTTGTCAGGCACTCTTTAGCATTGAAAACAGAGGGGTTGCGGGAATGCTTGAACCTGACTTCCAAAAATAGTTTCATCAGGTTGGTAGAACATAGGATTAAGGTTTTTTTTTTTTGCACAACCAAAACCTCTGACAGACACTGACCGTAAGCAAGGCCAGAGAACTTTTGGTTGTGTAAAAACAACCCCTATATCCTTGAATCTGACTACACGTACATTATAGTAGTATACATAGTATATATCCAGTCCCTAAAACTGTGTGTAGCAAGGTCCTTTTAGTACTACTAGTATATGTATGTTTCACTTTCCTCTCATGCATTTTTGTTTTGTAAAGCCGAGAACCGATGAATTGATTTGGCATTGCCTCATGCTGACAGACTGGTCACAGGTGTGAGAACTAATGACAATGTCAATTTTTCAACTCAAAGATGCAACAACTTGCCTCGTGCAAGCAGATACATGAAGTAAAAGTGACAGTGAAACACTGGCAATATCAGGACCAGTATACAAACCAGAACAAAAGTAAAAGCCGACTGTACAATAATTAGCGATTTTCCCAAATTAGGGATAGGGAGGCCGATAATCTTCAAGCAGATCCCTTTCGGTGGCAAAAAGACAGTATGAAATTGGCCAGGCAGTATCCATTAGCCAGAGAAGGTCCGCGGCCACCGACGGTGGGGGTAGTGACAAAAAAAAACAAAAAACACGGCCATATATAAAAAGGTAACAATCATTCCCTGCAACCTCTGCTTGGAGAGTAGAGGCCGACTGCTGTACTATACTCAAGTGTGTTACTGTGTATTGAAGGCCATGAAAACCCTGAGGCCTGTACAATCTAATGGGTGTTCTCAGGAGTCTTGTGCATTTTACATTTACAACAGTTTAACTCCTTATTGCCTTGTCAAACAAATGTGTGAAACATAATGACTGTACAAGTAAGACAGAGTATACAGTATACAAACTCAAACACAACAGTTATTCCAACAGAACATAACCTTACATACTGCTGTATTATTTTGTAGCTTAGCTAACATATACAGCAGTTATCAACCTGTTTTGCTTGTAAGACAAGGTGTAGCCTTTGGTCCACCGAGCTTAGCCACATGCTAGCTTTGGTTGTAAAAAAAAAGGTTAAGGTAAATCACATCTTTACCAGTATGTAAGTTCAGTCTAAGTAATAAATAAATGAATAAAACTTTCAGCCTTCTAATGTAGCTGTTTGGCACAAAATCTGTATAGGTTAAGGGGTTGGGCAGCAGGGAGAAGGTTAACAAATGCTGCTAAAAGTGTTGGCAGTCCTTAATTTGTCCTGATCTGAGTGATATGGCCTTGACTTGGAAGTGGGGGCAACCTTCATTGTTCAATGAACGAATCAATCTGGTTGCCTGCAAAATATCTGGTTACACAAAGAAGACTACTCAACAATTTTCTACTAGAATCAATTATTACTGACATTAATTTTTTCTTCTTTTACAAAAATTTCTGAAGCCCGCTACATTACAGGACCACAAAGGGCGCCGCTCGCAGGTGAGCCAGGTGTGCGGATAATGGTTTCACCTCCATCCGGTTTTACCGACAAAAATGTCAACAAAACACCTTCAGCCGTCATAACATTAACAGAACGTGCAGCTAAACTCTCGTACTTAACATTGCATGTATGTAAGGTTGGAAGTAGAGTATATTTGTTTAGTAGGCGAGAGATCTGTGTGAATCGGTGCTGTAAAGATCGCGTTAGGAATTCCCAAGGGAGGTTGGAATAAAGACAAAGATGTCCAGAGGGACACTGTCTGGTGTAAAATCATAATGTTATTCATGTCCGGGTCCCCGACAGAAAATTATAACGGACCTTGCAATTGTTCGATACCGTTTCGCCGTTCTCATAGGAAGAATTCTGTTTGAAATACGAAGTAGGAAAGTTGTTGAGGCATAAGGGGGATATTTGGGCGTGTGAAAATGAGCGGTGGTACCGAAACAAGGGCGGACGGAAGATATGAATATTCAAAACAAAGGACTGAACGGTTCCGATAGGGACAGCAGCCATGTCGGCCGCTACATGTATGGCAGAGTTTCGTCATGGAACTGACAACGATTGTAGTTCTTATATCACACATTCCTGAAAAGAATGAAGAGATAGTTATGTGTATGAGGATAATTTAAGCCGAATGAATGAGATTATTGTCACCACCTGCAGCTTTCGTCTCCAGAATCCTTCCGCGTCGACAAGAGCCCGGAGCTTCCGGCAGACTTGTGAGGCGTTGAACAGCGCTTTTCCCTGCAGGTAACTGAGAATGTGGTCGATAACTTCATCGCTGAGGCTCATGAGACTCAGCCCGGCGTTTTCTGAGGGAAGTTCCGCCGGTTTCTTGGTTGGTTTGCGGGGTTTTCTGGTTGTTTTTCGGACGGGAGCCCTCCGCCGTTTATTCCTGGTCACCGGTGCCATGTCTGAATACAAAGATGGCGGGGGCTCTTCTACAGGGGTCAGGCGGGGTCAACCTTTAAATCCGCTTTTCCAAATAAAAAATCGCAACCATTTTAATAAACAGGGATAAGAATCAACCAAGGAAATAACCGTGTAAAAATAACAATATCTATAAGATATTTCCTTCGTCTTCGAAAGGGATGGTACCAATTTGTGCGTAACCTTTGACATACCAACCCGGAACGCCAGAGTGTTTCACAACAAGGTCTTTTCGTAGGACAGAAAATTTTGCCACGAAACAGACACACAGACGGGGCGAAATCGTATATTTTTGTACGGTTTGTAATGAAAAGCTGTCCAAGACACCAGTAAATGGCCAGGCAAGAAGCATGGTGACCTAATTTGGTGAGAAATAATTTTGTTTTTCACTGTATGGACTATGGGGGAGGGGGGCGTATGCTCGTATGCATATGCATGCGCATTATATTTTTGCGCTATAATTTTTCTATATTTTCTACATGTAAAGTACTTCGTCAGGCCTGTATTTCCTGCCATTTCTCTGCAAATCAGCTTATGAAGTGTTTTTTTTTTACTGGGAGAATGGAGTTGATCTCGCGGCTTGGGTTGAGGTGCGGATGCAAAACAATGTGATTGTTGCAGGATATGCTTCTTACATAGAACAAACCAAAACAAATTATATGGCTATCTGCATTGTGATATTAGTATATTATGCATGTACTTTTACTGTGGTTTTATTTTTGCAGTGCCCTTTCAAACAAAATCATGACACCAAAATACTATACAGAATACACGTAACTAGTATCTGTTTTGCATTTTGTTGTTGACACATACTAGTATGCAATTCTTTCACATCTTTTTACCCTAAATATTATAAAAATTAAATGTGTAAATATAGGCACACAGAATGCAGTTCTACTCCTTGGAGCCAGGGGTCTCCTCTGCAACATGTACAAAGTGATGGTTACATTACACTGTACAGCGTCTGCTTGGTTTGTGTTGACATTGTTTTTGCAGTTCCAACTGTAAACAGAAGGTGTCTTCTGGTACTCAACAGTATAATGTACTAGCTACACATTGAAAATGATATGCATAGTTTGTGCTCATAAACCTGCATTTCTCCTCTGGTCTCTTAGTCACTGACGAAAGCTAGTGGATACTAGCTCACTGAAATGTCTGACCGTTTCCAAAATCATTGAGTAACTGCTTTTTGGCGTATCTTATTACCTGGATGCCTAACCTTCATCGACGATATGCATAATGATTTAGGATGTTGGGCCTATACAAACTGTTAGATGTTGTGATTATGAAGTTTCGTTATGGAAGAATGGTCGTAGGGTTACTGAAATTCCAGGCACGAAATTTTCTTCCTTCAAAAAAAAAAAAAAAATAAAGTAATCCTTCAAGTGGGGCCTTTGAATGACCTGAAACTTGAGCTAATTTGCTCCATTAGTTACAGGTCTACTAGTATTTAATAATTGGTTTAGAGCCAGCACAGCCCCCCACCCCCACCCTCCCCAATGCAATCTTTCTTGGTCCGTTCCTAAAAATCCTTAGTACTTATTGTGACTGTAGTTTTGGCAAAATCTGACTTTAACACTAGTCCAGAGAACCAGACCAATTGACCTTCCACACCTTCATACATATGGAATAGTTGTTGTTTATACAATCCACTGTTGTCATAATGCTGCAAATTGTTACTAACATTTACTAGTACATGTACCCGGTAAGGTACCAGTACATTATTTTGTTAAACATAAACATGTAACATTACAGTGTTTACATGTATTATGTTCGGAAGAGCACACTGTTACATAATTGTATTAACTTCTAAACAAACATCTGTTTTTCTGCTTTGATTGAGAGGGAAGTAATTACTCACCCATTTTTGACAAAATTAGATTTGCGAGCAGTTCTTCCAGGTGGAGACATACTTAATGTAATTTTCTCCTTTTGAGGGTCAGACTTTACCGAGTAACGTGCACATAGATCGAGTTACAGTCCGGGAGGATCTCAACACTTCAAATTAATACATTTCTTGACAATCACTGCTTTTTAATCTGCAAGAAAGTATCATAATTGAGTGGCATGGAATTTTTATTCATTTTCATATATCTTTGATAAGATTTTTCAGCAGAGAAATTCTACAGTTCACAACATAAGCTAGTTACGGAAGGTACGCACAATAAATGTTCTGTTGGAAAGAACACGGAACTGCCCTGATGATCCCTTGCTGGTCGTCAGTTGTAGCTTGGTTGTTTGTGAGCACAGAGAAAAAACTGTAGGTCTGAGGATAGATTCTAGACTCTGGCTTTGGGTGCTGAACATGGAAGGTATGTAGGGCCTTTGCCTCTGTCAAGAGTTTTAGTGCCATTTTGTTAGATCATACACCTGGTCCTAGATGCTTGGGAGAATTATGTAAGTTACTCGTGTACAACAGTATCCTTGTTATTCTTTACAAGTCCATTTTTGTATCTACATGTACTGGTAGGTGCACAGGTACACCCAGGGTAAAAGATTTAATTTGGTGCACATCTCCAATTTTGGGTGCACAAAAGTGCATACACTGTATATTATTTATGCATTCACATCCAACTTATTTTCAACCCAGCTATAGAATGGTCGTATTCTTCCATATGTATGAAAGAGTGTAACAAGTTGCCCGGTGTAATACATGTAGCCAGAGGCCGTGTGCTTGCGAAGCTGGTGTGTTACACTGAGGGGCGGTTATACCGGCTATACAGATACAGAAGCTGGTGTGTTACACTGAGGGGCGGTTATACTGGCTATACAGATACAGAAGCTGGTGTGTTACACTGAGGGGCGGTTATACCAGCTATACAGATACAGAAGCTGGTGTGTTACACTGAGGGGCAGTTTTACTGGCTATAAAGATACTGAAGCTGGTGTGTTACACTGAGGGGCGGTTTTACTGGCTATACAGATACAGAAGCTGGTGTGTTACACTGAGGGGCGGTTATACTGGCTATACAGATGCAGAAGCTGGTGTGTTACGCCGAAGGTCAGTTATACCGGCTATACAGATACAGAAGCTGGTGTGTTACGCCGAAGGGCGGTTATACCGGCTATACAGATACAGAAGCTGGTGTGTTACACTGAGGGGCGGTTATACCGGCTATACAGATACAGATAAGAATGTTAGAGTGAGAGATGGTATATGACTTGTGTCAGTTCCTTCTGGTTTGAAGGAAGTTTAACACTGCCTTTATTGTACCCACTGAAGCTGATGTTGTTGTGTTGATTCCCAGGTGTGCACAGAAGGATGCAGACTCTCCTCCTCCTCCTCCTGCTCTCTCACCTGACAGGTGTGCTGCCCTCACCTGTGGACACGACCAACCGCACAGACGTGGGGGGGTTGGTCCAGGATCACCACATCGACCTGGACTGGCTGGGGACCCTGCTGAAGGGATTTGGTACGGTCCAGGAGATTCCTTTACAAGCTAGATCTTGCCACCAACACTCAAGTCCATAGTACTTGTTGCATCAAGATAGAAAAATGATTGAAACACTGTGTTTGTTCTTACACATGGTATTGATTTTTTAATTCCATTGATGTAATATTAGACACAATCAACAGATCAAGATAAGAGTCTTCTGAATCTAATTATATGTAACATTTTTTGTTGTTGTCGTTATAAAGCTGTGATAGCCTTGGTACCATCCTCTGTAGTTACTCCCGACTCTTTTTGGATATGGTAAGCAAGCAAAAAGATCTAGAGAGAGCTGGCGGTAACTATGGAGGATGGCACCCAAGCTAGTGCCAAGACATGGTATGGAAAGTATGGAATGGTGCTTTTTTTCTTGATGAAAAAAAAACAAACAGTTATTTTGATCTGACAAAAATATCAATTCTCCTTTTTTCTGCTCCAGGTCCTGTGCTTGTTCCCCAGCCAACACCATCCAGACAATCTGCAGTATCTGATGATGCTGATGACAACCAATCAGAGAGCAGAGCTAATGGTGATGTTGGGGATGACAGCCAATTAGAGAGCAGGGCTGATGCAGATGTTTCGGATGACAGCCAATCAGAGATCAGAGCTGACGCAAATGTTGGGGATGACAACCAATCAGAGAGTATAGCTGATGCAGATGTTGGGGATAACAGCCAATCAGAGAGCAGAGCTGGTGCAGGTGTTGGAGACCCACCCAAAGAGGCGACCCTGATCAGAAAGCCACTCTCTGTTGACTCAGACTTTCTGGAAGCACTACTGGCAAATGAAGATGAAGAAGACATAACAGGCAAAGACTGGAACTATGGACAACTGAACCATGATGATATAGAGAACAGGATAGAGGAAGGTGCCACTGAGAACTATGCTGCTGAAATCGAGGGGTTAGTTGCAAATGCCAATCTTGAAAATTCTAGGACTGATGATGCCATTGCTGCCACTGAAAGTTCTGGTGGTAAAATTAGTGAGTCAGTCACAGCCACCCCCGGACAAGATTTTACAGACGACAAGGACGAAGGAAATACAGATGCTGATGAAAGTGCAAGTTTGAATTCTGTAGAAGACCAAGACACTGAAATTGACAATGCTATAGATGAAAGTCCCGAGGAAGATCTAGTCCTTGGGACAGGAACTCCTGCCATATCCAGCTGGTACAACAGTGAGGAGTTTTATGACGACCTTTACCCTTACACCGGGTGGGAGGACCCGGGGGAGGGATGGGGCTGGCCGGTGTTGCCCACCGAGGTGCCTGACACGACGCCAGAACAGATCCACATCTCCTGGGGCAACGCCTCCAGTCAGATGGTGGTCATGTGGTCCACAAGGTCTCGTGGGATAGGAAGGGTGCAGTATGGGATAGCGCCAGGGAACTACAGCCAAGAGGTGGCTGCAGAGTACAGCTACTTCTGGTACGGAAACAACGAGGGGCTTCAGCACGTGTACAGGGCAGTTCTCACGGTAAGTACGGAAACAACGAGGGGCTTCAGCATGTGTACAGGGCAGTTCTCACGGTAAGGAGACTGTGACATGGACATATACAAATGTATCTATGTACATGTATTAGAGTTAAAACTTTAGATCCAACACAAAGAAGTTCTCTCACCTAGAGCTTTTGACCAGTCACTCTGGTCTTCCAGTGAGGCTTGTCACGCGGCTATCTTTGAAGTGCAACGTCAACACTGGGTCAAAGGCTCTAGGTGAGAGAACTTCTTTGTGTTGAATCTAAAGTTTTAACTTTAAACAAGTAACTACCAACACAGATGAACTTTCATGATGTATTGTAACAATCCAAATGAAATTCATCTAAAATTATGTGCTGTAAACCTTTCTGTCTAAATTGCAGGATCTCCTGCTCAACAGGACCTACTCCTACAAGTTGGTGTGTGGAGAGGAGGAGAGATCAGGCTTCCAGTTCACAGCCAAAAGGGACGACCTGGTACGTTTGGGGGAAGGAAACTGCAGTCAACGTTAAATCTTCATCATTGAATCATTACTTGCACAGCCTGAGTACTAGTGTTAGCCTTTTTATCATTCGTCCGCTCCCCACAATTCACCACCAGCGCGAATTATGAGGAGCAGACAGAAAATAAAAAGGCTGACACTAATGCTATACTTAAACAAGAACACATACCCAACACTTGAGCAACTGGATAGATTTCAAACCTTTCAAAACATTCTTGCCAACACTGATTAAATACCCAATTTACTCAGTGTTGGCAAGAACTTTTAGCCCTTTTTGTCGTATCTGTGTTCTTGTGCATTTTTCACACATTTCTCAATGCAGGACTGGTCCCCGGAGCTGCTTAATTTTCAAAACCTAAAATCCAGTCGCTAGATTAACTACTGTGTTCTTGTGCATTTCTCACGCATGTCTCCCGGCAGGACTGGTCCCCGGAGCTGCTTGTGTACGGAGACATGGGTCGCGTGGGCGGGGCTCCGAGTCTGGAGCGGCTGACACGAGAGGCGGAGACGGGAAAGTACGCCGCGGTGCTGCACGTGGGAGACTTCGCGTACGACCTGCACACCCAGGGTGGGAAGGTGGGACAGCTTAACCTCTCCAGCAGGATGAAAAATCTTGCTATCCTAACATTTTTCGCCTGCTCAAAACCCATTTTGTATTTTGCATACTACTTGCTGCACTTCAGCAGAACATCTCTTTTTATTGATAACCTCTTTTCTTTAGCAGGATGAAACATCTTGTTAGCCAAACATACTGCACCTATGCAAAACCTGTAACGTATTGTGCATAGTATTTTAAATTTCCATATTTATAAGGATGACATCCCATATCTATAGGTTTCAAAAAGCTGTTGGCCGAACATACTGCACCTGCACAAAAGCCATTATATATTCAGCTGAACATTTCTGTTTTGAAGGACGTCTATGATTTTCAGATGTTGTGTTGGAAAAAATACCATCTGCAGTGAGCAAAATTCTGATACAACATTGAGCAGGCATCCATCGAAAACTGGAAAATTTGGTCTTCTGCCAATGAGCTAGTGAAACACACTTAAACAGTTTTCATTTCACAATTGAAGTGAAATATGACATAGTTTTTGTTTGTAATGTGGTTTATACCGATGATGTTTGTGTTTTCTCCAGTATGGCGATGACTTTATGAACAGGATCCAGGAAATAGCCACCAAGCTGGCCTACATGACGTGCCCTGGAAACCATGGTAATGGCATTGTTTACAGTTTCACCTGGTGTCAGGTTACAGAGCGACATACTTGATACATTAATGTTTGGCAAGCTTTCAATGTCTTGATTCTTTTGTTTATATAGTGTAGTAACTCACACCCGTCGTAATTTAGAAAAGTCTGCTCTCAAATCCTTCCGTACTCTAGGGCTAAAAGATTGTGTTTCGTTGAAAATTTAGGGACTTTCAGGGTCCCTAAAGCTGAAACACAGAGCAGCTAATAAAATAAATGTAGCAGACTGTTGTCTTGTACATGTAATTATTATTACTATTGTATTTTAATTAGTAATTTTGCCATGTTATCACATTGATTTGATTTTTAAAAATTTTATTTGATTATATTGAAATTGCAACAATGCAATACACACGAAACAGAGGCAGCTGTTGCTGGTGTTGTGTCCCGCGCATAGAAACGAATACAGAACAGACAATACTTATTTTCACTTGAGTCTAGTGGGGAAAGTCGTGTTAAGTGTCTTTCGGAAGGGCACAAGATCGGTGGCATGTTAGGGCTCGAACCCGGGACCTCTTGATTCCGAGTCGTGCACGCTGCCGTTGCGCCACACGACCCCACATTGACCTAATGATTGTTCTCTTCCTTGTTCCACAGAGATAGAGTTTGACTTCAACCCCTACCTGACCCGGTTCTCCATGCCCCAGTCCGCCTGGCCCGGCAGCATGGATAAGATGTGGTACAGCTTCAACCTGGGGAGGGCCCACTTCATCAGGTAATAAAAGCATGTCGGCATGTACTGCACCTGCGCAAAACTCGTAATGTATTGTGCATGGCACTTCGGCAGAACATCTCATATAAATCGTATTCGTATATATTAGGTTACATTTCTGTTTGTAGTTTCCAGATGTTGTGTCGGAAAAAATATTGTCTGCAACAAGCAAAATTCTATGCAACATTGACCAAAAATCAATGAAAACCGTGAAAAATCAGGGCTTCATGCAGGCGCAATACATTCTTCCGATGTGCTACATGCGAATGTAGAATGACAGAGAGTTCGCACAGACTGACGGGAAGGTCAAATTCAAATGGTCTCCCGCAGGTTGAAAGGTAGGGACGGTGCCATATACACAGCATCAGCAAGAAATTCATAATGACATATAAAACAGGAAAGTCACCAAAGTACTTGAAGTATTTGATTTGAAATTCTTGTTTTCTTGGGACGTAAAAATTGCAGTTATTCCTTGGACGTATAAATTTCACACCTCGACGTGTCAACTATTGATTTGTGGCGAATTTCTTGTTTTATTTGTCACTGAAATTCTTGCTGAGGTGTGAATTTTTTTTATTTCTCGTTTTTCCCACAGTTACTCCTCAGAAGTATACTTCACGGAGAGTCCTGAAGAGGAGCAGTACCGATGGCTGGTGCAGGACCTGACGGAGGCTAACAGTGCCGAGAATCGAACCCTGCACCCCTGGATCATTGCCTTCGGACACAGGCCCATGTACTGCTCCAATGTGGATGGGGACGACTGCACCACACCCAGAAGTAAAGTCAGGGCAGGGTTGGTAGAATATTGTCTTGGAGATTCCTTGCAATTGTGAATATGAAATTGGGATTAAAAATATGCATCTGATTTCTTGTGTGTGTGTGTGTATGTGTGTGTGTGTTTGAGTGCATGCGTGTGTGTGTGTGCCGTGTTTGTGTGTGTTGCATGCGTGTGTGTGTGTGCCGTGTTTGTGTGTGTGTGTGTTTGTATATGTGTGCATGTGTTTGTGTCTGTGTGTGTGTATTTGTGTGTGTGTTTGTGTGTGAGCGTGTGTTTGTGTGCGTGTTTGTGTGTGTGTGTGTTTGTGCATGTGTGTTTGTGTTTGTGACTGTGCATGTGTGTCTATGTGTTTGTGTGTGTTTCTGTGTGTGTGTGTGAGCGTGTGTGTGTGTGTGTTTATGTTTGTACGTTTGTGTGTGTGTGCATGTCTGTGTATGTGTTTGTGTGTGTTTCTATAATGTGTGTTAATGTGTTGTATGTTTGTGTGTGTGTGTGTGTGTGTGTGTGTGTTTGCGTGTGTGTGTCTGTGTGTGTTTGGTTTGTGGTTTTCTGTATGTTTAGTATTGGATGCTACAACATCAGATTCTGACAGTATCAAAAATCTATCCAGTTGCCTGAGGAACAGTTTTGCTGTAGTAAAGCATGTTTTCTGCCGTGTCCAGGCTGGAGGATCTGTTTTACCGGCAGGGAGTGGACATCATCATTGAGGCCCACGAGCACAGCTACGAGCGGCTTTGGCCCGTCTACAACTACACCCTCATGGGCACAGACTACCGCGACCCCCGAGCGCCCGTGCACATCATCAGCGGCGCGGCCGGGTGTAACGAGTTTGACGGGGTCTGCATAAACCCCATGATGGGCCCCAAAGGTGAGAATATGTGCGTAAACCCCATGATGGACCCCAAAGGTTATTAGCTGGTGTGTTACTCCAAAGGGCGGTTATACCGATACAGATACAGAAAGATGAGAATATGTGTATAAACCCCATGATGGGCCCTAAAGGTGAGAATATGTTCGTAAACCCCATGATGGGCCCCAAAGGTGAGAATGTGCATAAACCCCATGATGGGCCCCAAAGGTGAGAATATATGTCTGCATAAACTCCATATGGGCCCCAGAGGTGAGAATATGTGCATAAACCCCATGATGGGCCCTAAAGGTGAGAATATGTGTGTAAACCCCACGATGGGCCCCAGTGGTGAGAATATGTGTGTAACAGAAACCATGGACTTGTGCAGGCACAGTACATTCTGCTGACGTTGTCTCTAACGCAAGATATTCCTTAGCAACAATGTCTAACGCTGTTCCGTGCTGTTGCAGGTCCGTGGTCGGCGTTCCGTGCGTGGCTGCCCGGGATGTACGGGTACGGCCGTCTGCGCGTGCAGAACTCCTCGCACGTGCACTGGGAACAGGTGCTGGCCGTTAACGGTCAGGTCATCGACTCGGCCTGGATAGTGCAGCACCACCATCACCCGTTCGGCGAGGAATAAGCAAAAATGGGGGGAGTTCAGAAAATACCGGAAAAAGTTCTGAACAAACATCATCACCCGTTCGGGGAGGAATGAGTAGGAACGAGTAGTTTAGCAAATACCGGAAAAAGTTCTGGACAAAAATCACCCATTTGGGGAGGAATGAGTAGAAAAAAGGGGGAGTTCATCAGAACAAAAACTCTGAACACCATCATCTGTTTGGGGAGGAATGAACTAAAAAAGGGAGAGAGTTTGGCAAGAACCAGAAAAAGAAATTCTGAACAAACATCACCACCCATTTTATGAATTATCAAAACTGAACAAATCGCCGTAAACGGTCAGGTCATCGACTCGGCCTGGATAGTGCAGCACCACCATCACCCATTCGGGGAGGAATGAGTAGAAAAAGAGGGAGTTCATCAGAAATCAGAACAAAAAATCTGTACATCGTCACCCAGTTGATGAGGAATAAGCAAAAAATGGGGAGTTTGGCAAATACCGGAAAAAGAAATTCTGGACAAACATCACCCGTTTGGGGAGGAATAAGCAGAAAAAAGGGGTGGAGTTCAGAAAAAAGGGATTTTTGACAGGTGATAAACTCTGACTTGCCTGTTAGACATCATCAGTTGTTTGGAAAAATTTGTCAAAAATTATTTTTTGATAGCTAGCAGCCTCACTGAGGCTCTCACTTTCTACTTGGCATACCGGGTCACCCCTACTAAGTGTGTTGGGTTCTTTAACGTGAACAGGTTTGACTTTAAGTCCAAAAGGAAGAATGCCATAGCCAAGTAACGTTTGAACTTCCAAGGTTTGAGCTGTAAAGCAACGAAGTCATTTATAGCACCTGTAAGGTACCAGGGACATGTTAGTACATGAGGAAGTATTGAGTTCATGTTGCAACAAAAGTGCAAAACGACCAACATGGACCAGAATCAGGAGTCCAGTATTGTGCCTTGAAGTCAATTATAATGAGGTTCTCAAATAAGAGACATTGTGCATGCCCAGTGTCAAAAATGAAGGCCCACAAGAGGTAAATTAAACACACCAGAGGAACCCATAGCCCCGTCATGGAACATGTAAAATTTTGTTTAATGTTACCACATTTTTGGCTGCTTTAGTTGTATGCTTTTATTCCAGATGACCTAACAGAAAATAGATGCTTGGGCATGATAAGGGATGGAGCTTGCTGTAAAATCTGAATTGGTGTTAGGTATGTTATATTTCAGGAAGATAAAACAAATATTTTTGAAGCAGACCAAAGAGTATTATATAAAAAGGAAAGGCGAACATTCTGTAAGCTAATCAAGCGAAATACTTCTACCTTTTCCACAATGCAAATTTGGTAGCAAACGACTTCCTTAGGAGGTCGGAAGTTGGAATCCCTTCAGGGGTTCCTTGACCTCCATAACAGGCTACGTGTAGTCTCCACCAGACTTCTTTTGTAGGCTGAATAAATCGGCCTAAAAAGGGTATTAATTGGCGAGAGAAGGTAGCTGGCCAATTTGATCGTCGATAGCCGGCTACCTTCTCTACCTGGAGGAGACTAATAACAGGCTTTGTCTGCACGACTTCTGTCCCTGACATGTTTGAGAAGGCCGAAGGTATAATACATACGCAGGCATATCCGTTAATTCCGACCAGGGGTACTGAACTTTCGCAAGGTTGGAAACACATATAGCAAAACAAGGACTCGCAAACATGTGGAAGGAATATTCTAGATCTTGATCTAAAATCCTTATATTTTTGTGTTCGGGTAATTACACTATAGGTTGGCAGCATGGTTTTCTCAGTTGTCGCTGTCATCTTTAGGGCCTGCAAGTGTCCGTAATAGATGGTGCAATATGTCAGTGCAACTGGTGTTATTTTTGAAGGATGTAGGTTGAACGTAGAAGAGAAGTTGTATATGATTTAGATAATAGGCGCTTGTTATGAAATGCTTTGAAGCAGGGTTTTCATGCAACGTCATGTTGGACTACAGAGCGCGTATGTTAAACATGCCAAAATGCTCCGTGACTAGTTTTATCAGGTTGTTAAGACACTGAGTAAAGAGACTTTTTACACAACCAAGTCTTTTATTCAGCCGACGCATTTGTGTAGATGTGTAATTAGTATCGTACATTTGAGAATGCATCTGTAGCATCGACACCTGTGCTGCAATGCGATGTGAACCTGTCAGAATTGCCCTGAGGAAGGTGACAGACGGCACCGAAGCGTTGGCTGAATAAAAGACTTGCATGGTTGTGTAAAAAAATAAAAAGAGTCTCTTTACTGAATGCCAACATGCTGCTGCAGTCATCCACTCACCCACCTACATGACCGCTTGGCAGGTGGTCAAGTTATAATTTATTGTGACATTAATGAGGTAATAAGGTTGTATAACAAAAATCATGAAATGCTGTATCAATGCAACATAGAAAATACACGTAAAACTATGCATTCAAATAGTCGGTTACTTCATCACAATGTGAAGAATGTATTTCCAGAGTTTGAAATGTCTGTTTTCAGTGTTTGTTTTGTTGTGTGAACTGCTTGTCTTATAATGTCTTATGAAAGTGATTTGAGTGAATGTCTATATGTGATTGTGCTCGTATGTGGTGACCAGCCCCTCAAACTCTGTTCTGCCACTTGCTACATAATGTAATCCAGTACCACAAGGTTTCTGCTGCATCGCTAGTTACCGAGGTGACAGCAATCTGCATGATATACATATCAGTCAATAGTTCGTGCTTATATATAAACTGCAAATCTTCTACATTCTCTAGTGTCACTGACGAAAGGTAGTGGATACTACCTGAAACGTCTGACAGTTTCCAAAATCATATCCAGTTGCTTGAGGAACTGTTTTTGGCGTATCTACATGTATTATCTGGATGTCAAACCTTCACCTACGTATAGCCCATTATATTGACCTCATTTTGTTTGGATTGTGTAAGAAAAAGAAACGAGGACAAAAAAAAAAAACAAGTTTCCTTCTTCGGATGTAGACGTGATGAAGTAGTTTGAGGAGCTTCCGTGAGGAAAATTAGTCTGGCGATGACGCATTGCCGCACTTCCCGCCCCCAGGCCACGTCCGACGCTTTCCGTTGGCTTGGTGCAGGCTTAGTGGTACGTGTAAATGTGAAGATTGAGCGGTAGATGTATAAGTGAAGGTTGGCCGCGGAAATGAGTTAGTTCCTCACTGGGTACAGCCGGGGAAGGGTGTCGCATGCAGCCCTAGTGTTGTGAAGTCATGTCGGCCGCCGGTCGGGC